GAATAATGCAGTAAAATGTGGGAGATCTTTATGAATCTTAGATGTCTCATGCTTGTTGGTTGCTGGCATAGCAACAGTTTAGTTCAGAATGATATAATCATTGTGGTATTGTTCACTTTCTTATCATTGTTTTGGTACCATATTGTGTATACAGTGTGGACTGTAAGCAACCATATTATGGGGTAGGTTATTATTTTGACCATCATTTGATTAAAACAGTCTTTCATTAGTTTACTTATTTTGGCATTAATGATTTTGTTATGTTAACAAGTGGCAGCTGTTCCTGCATTAATATACCAGTTATTCAAAGCTATCACTTTAGATATACAGCATGTTAGCTGACATTAAGTGACAAGACTAAGATCTAACTTAGCTTAGCGTGTTAGCATGCTACCATTTGCTTATTAACATTAAACACACAGTACAGCTTAGGCTGATGGGGAAGTCATTAGTTTCGTAAGTATTTGGTCATGATCAAAGTATTGGAATAAGTTATATTTTTGACCTGATGATGGCGCTTGATGAAATGGCACATTTCACTGTGTGTTGATAACTAGCTATTACTATTTATCCTGAGAGGGACATGAACATACTCAGTTTCACGGCAATCCGTCTTGTATAGTTGAGCCACAAATGTGAACCTGAAAGGAAAAGTCACATTGCCAATGTCATTAGGATACATCATCTGGGAGCCGTGACCAAGCGTGGACCAAACTGGTAGACTGCCTAACTTGACCAACACTGTCTACCTTAGAGCCATGCTGCTAGTGTGGCTAAAGTACACTAGTCTAATCATGGTAAACCACCAAGTGTAACTGTAGTAGAGCAGAGGGTCCCATCCTTGCTAAATAAAAAAGAAAAATATTTGTCAGGTACGGACACTTATTTATGTCCATGAAGGGCCACAGGAGGAAGTCTTTGTACTGAAAAAGAATTGATAGGTCATTTGCCTTTCCCGTCCGTTTGGCATCCTTTGGTATAAAACAACCACAAACCAGACAGGTTGGTAAATAAAGTGTGCTGTGTGCAGTTTATTGACATCACGTTGCATGTCTTCTGGCTGATTAAGGTCATAGTTTTTAGACAGTTAACGTCTCATCACCCAATAGAGCCACTGTGTCTCTGGGGTCTAATTATAATTTCATTTTTGCAGTTCTGCATCACTTATTTATCACTTTGTAATTTCTACGAAGCAAATTGTATTGAATCTGTCTGTATGAAATGTCTTAGAAACATGTATTATATTATATTTATAACTCATGAAAACTTCAGTACTTTCATTTGGGCTTAGGAGTTTTCAAAATCTGATAGCATGATAAACCAAGTCAGGTTTTGCTATCTGACTTCTTGCTTCAAGCATCTTTACATTTGATGATCAAAGATGTGTTGATGTTATCATTTGAGTTTGCTTGCTTCTAGAGTTTGAGAATAACTAAGACCTATTTATTTTTTATTTACTAAATTAAACTAACTTTAAAATCTGCAAATGCTTTGCTATTTCACAGGAAAAATCAATTTAGCAGTGAATTCTGGATTGATCTAGTTATTGCAGTGTTTAGATATGGATTTATGGTTATCAAAACACAAGGGAATGTACTGCAGTGTTGCAAGAACTTTCTGACAATAACCAAAGCCTCAAGAAACCATTATCGTCCGTTATAATCCAAACATAAAATATTTTAATTTGACTAATTGAATAAGCTAAAAGAAAACATTTAACTGTGCAAACATGGGTTTACATGACAAAAAATACAAATCTGAAAATGAAGAGAAAATGGTTGCTTTCAAATCTGATTTATTTAGCAGAACAGCCAAAACTCTGGTAAGTAATCACACTTGACTGAAATATAAATGATGCCTATCATTTACCTAGGCCTATAATTAACATTTAACTCCGCAAGGATGGCTTTCATATGAGGCCACAAACAAGTACACAACTGATCGTTGCTTTGGTCCCACATCAATAGAAAAAGTGCTAATAGTAACAAGTTTGACACCAGATACAGTACAGGCTTACTAAAACATGCATGGCCTGTAATTTCATACTCTTTGTGTCTATTCGAGGTGATTGAATGGAATAGTTTGTTTTCGCTCTTAGTTTACACTGGCTGACTGCACGTTTTGTATTGTGTCTTTGTCAGGTGTCTACATTTACTTCCACATCAGAAGCAGACACAGTACTTGATCAGCTAACACTTTCATAATAAACGTGGACTAAGCGCACTTCACAAGTTATAGGCGTCATAGATTCTTCTAATTTTGTACCTGTTGGAGCTGCCAAAGATTTAAGACTCCATTGAGCACAAAGAAGCAGCCATTCAGTTCACTGCAGGACCAGAGAGATCGGCTGTGCTGCTGTTGCTCCATGTCTCACAAAAGCTGGATAAACTGGCATCACATTGGTACCACATCATAAGCCTGATCAGTCATCAAAATCTGGACTACTACAACAGCTGCAGTCTGAATCAGCTGTGGGAAACTGTGACTCATTACATGAAGACAGCCATTGAGACAAGTGGTCTGCAAATGTAGCTTTGCTACATACACTGTCTCAAGCTCATGGACTACTGGAAAGAAATCATAAAATGTTGAATAATGAGGGCTGGCAGAGCCAGAGGCTGCCATTTGGTTGGCTTTGGCTTTGAAATCATGATCCCACAGACTGTTTTCTGTTTTAAGTTTAATGTTGGAAAATGCTATAAACACATATATAGGGAACTTAAAATGTGTCACCTGTGCAGCTCAGGTTGAACTGTAAACACTAAACATATTATCTAATATGTCTAACTTACAACTCTTACAACTTTTACTTGACATTTTATGGGATGTGTTTGAAAGGGAAACAGATGATTGCTGAAAATGTTTGTCTATTTGGGAACGTGTGCTTAGGTTTTTTTTTTATGACTTGTCAAAACATTCGATTCTTATGTGCTTTGTTGTCTGTGCTCTTCACTCGCCTTTATTGTGAGGGAAACTCTTCTCTGCAACCTAAACATCTATAGACAGAAAAACAAAAAAGAAAGGACAACGTGAGATTGTATAAGAGATGGCAGCATCAAAATAGGAGCTACAAAATCATCCTGTAACACACAGCACTGTAACACAAGCTTTGTCTAAATATCAAAGACCCAATCTGTCAGACATAACTAAGTTTCTCTTAGTCAAAAAGTCAATACAGTGAAAAAGGGAATTACTTGATTTACAAACAGCTTAGCAGCAGATGTCCTGGTTCAGTGTCACTAGAGTCATAGCATGTATAGTTACAGTGATGTTCTTGGATCAGACTCTTGACCATTGTTGCATGTCACCCCCCACACGGTGCGTTGTAGACATGTTAGGGGCCTGGTTCTATAGATGGCAATGTCAACCTGTCATTCAGTCAACCACTTTGATCCAGACTGAAATATCTCAACAACCAATAATGCAGGGGTTCTGAACCTTTCTGGCAGTCTGACCCCTGAAAATACCCCCGTTTTTTACCATTGTCCAATCTAATGAATGGAGAGACGGGCCCTCAGTTGTGCTCACGGAAGTTTACAGTTGCTTAGATTGTCCAGAGACTGCAACAGTCTGTCCCCGACTCATCCTAAAATAAGCTTTAAACCGACCATCATTAAGACGAAGACCCTGGACCAACTGGTATCATGTGCCCACAAAGATCTCCCTTTCCCTGTCTCCTGTATGTTTGTACACCTCAAAACAATAAAGGTGCCCTCCGTTTGTCTGTTTTTTTTAAAAGACACAGACCTGTGAGTTGTGATCAAGTTTCTGCTAGTATGACAGTTATTAGGCCTACTTAGCAGTAAACCAAAAATTACAGATCGCTGGCGCTGTAATCTTTGATTAGACTGACAGGACAGTTGATTCGGTGGTTGCCTAACAACATTAAAAAACCAGCAGCGCTTTGCTCTTTTCTAAATTCAACCAAAACGCCATTGCTGTGTGCCTCACGTTTTCAAACCTGCAAAGCGCTTTCTGTCTGATCGGGGCCTGATTCTTTCTTTCTTCTTTTTCATTTTATAGTGGTTGGCATTACCGCCACCTACTGGATTAAACAATGCAAAATATTTACAGTGTCCACCCAAAGTGATTCCATTCACAACTGTAGTCTGTCTGGTTATTTTTTTTCTATTTTTGTGTCTATAGCAGCATTCTCCCAGGGGGGTCCCAACCCCCAGGTTAAGAACCACTGCAATAATGGATGGTATTGCTATGACATGTTGTACAGACATTAGTGGTCCCCACAGAGTGAATCCTAATGACTTTTCTCCAAGCGCCACCATGAAGTTCACATTTGTGGTTTTGAGTATAATGTCTCATCAACTATTGGATTAATTGCCATGAGGCTTTGTGCATTCAGTTCTCCTCAACTGTAATCACTTTGGTGATTCCCTGACTTTTCATCTAGTGCCATCATCAAGTCAAAATTTAAATTTGTTTGTTTATTTCAAAATGTAATATTAACATAATTGCCCCCCCCCCCAGTTACTGTTGCTAAGTCCGACAAACTGCCGCCGCTGCCACTGTCTATTACTGCACTCCCCGGAGAAATATTGCCAAATTTGTTGGAAAAAGCGATCTCAGAAAGAAGCAGACAGTTTTGCAGTTGCATTATACATTTGAAGGTTGTATTCAGGATGTCAAACGGATGTGAAAAAAATTTAAGATAAAAAGAAAAAGCCTACCGATCACACAGTACAAGTGAACCACCGCATCCCCCAACGATTGAGACAAAAGACAACGATATCAACACTGTTCCTGTAAAGCTGGGTAGGCCTCTATTCATTATTACAACAGTAGGGCTATATAACGTTACATTAAGTAGGAAGTAAGCTAGCGTTTGCTAACTAACATTATATTAGGAACAATCCACAGTCGACATTTTTCTGGATTTATTTTAGGTATTGGAAAGAGAATAAATCGTACTTCTCCTTTCAACCTCTCTGGGTAGCGACTGTAACTATTACAAGTGCTCCAGGGACAGCTTTGACCATATCTTAGAAAAATACAGCCAAAAAAAGCTAGAAAACTACTCTTTTTGCATTAGAGTCAATGGGGCACATTCACAAAAGTGTCGGACCTCAGTTAGAGCGAGTCCTGTACTGCGCTGTAATTGGTCAGCTGTATATTTGGGGCGTGACTTAGCAAAGCAGTTATATTTCCAATCAAGAAAAGTAGCTTTTTCATGAAACACTGCATAACTTGACATTAAAAAAATTCTAATATAACAGAAAATCTATTTTGATAAATTGTTTATGAACAACAATACGCAGCTTTAAAATGGGCTTCCAGTGTCAACTGTAAAAAGAGTCGGGTTCACATATTTAGCAAGTAACTTTCCAAGATTACACTAGCTTCTGTTCAGATGTTCTTTAATCAGCAAAAGCTCAGGATCACAGGTTTGTCATAAAAATAACAAAATAGCAGTTAATTTCTGCCATCTGCCTATTGAGAATCGGGTATTACATCCAAATTACTGCTATAATCAGTATTAGTGGGTCCCTGGCTTTAGTCCCTCAAAACAAAACTGTCAATTCAGGACCTGTCTACAATTGTTGACATGCTCTGTGGACTCTGCGGAGCCTGCACAATTAGATTAACTGTGGAATGATTAACATACTGGTAATTATGACAGTCAAATACTGATAGGGTTGCTTTAGTCTAAAGTTTCACCTCATTATCTCAAAATAAGTGTCTTTAAGTAAACAGATTTTCTTAAATGCTCCCTTTAGGTTGTTTTAAAGCTTTGGTAGTTCCCAACAGGTGGATTTACTGTATGTGTGCATCTGTGGCCATTTGACAGAAGCAAAACATTTGGAACTGGTCCATTATGAGCACTTGAAATTAGTCATGAATGCTGCTGACCCACATTTGGGACTAGGGAAACGCAACCAGGAAGTTGTAAAAAAAAAAAAAAAAGAAAAAAAAACCCAACACACACACACATAGGAAGTGGGGAAGCACTTAAAGGGAAAAACAAAAGCCTGAAGCTTCTTGTTTTTCTTATGAATTTGAGTGCAATCTTCTTGAATGGCCTATGTTTTTTTTTTTTTATCCCAGACTGAAATAAATGGTTTATAAACTTATGAACAGGGTCAGACAGGCTAATCTCCTCTGTCTTGCTGGCAAGGAGGAGACACCAGTCACCCTCACCTCCTCTGCATGGGATTTGCCTTACTGTAGATCAATGAATGCACCTTTTTTTCATCATGTCTGGCCACTAAATTTGCGAGCCTGTTGTTTGTGGATAAATATGGACCCGACCTTATAGATTAAAGGCTACTTGTCCAAGTGGTATTAGGCTACACTTAAGACCATAGCATTCACAGTCACTCACCCAGAATGAACACACACATACTACACATATAGGTAATTCTCCCGAAGTGGCATAAAGTGGGGGGCTATTTTGCATTGAGCACGTGTTAAAGATTACAATCTGCCCCCTCCTCCCGGTCACTACAGGTTTCTTTCGGTTGTGCTGCGCAGCCGACTGCTTATGCTGCTGCCGTCGTTAGCAGAGTATTGAGCTACCAGCTGACCTACTTTCTCTGCTCTCAGCCACTCGGTCCTGTTTACAAGCCACTGCCAGCGGAGGATGTGGAGTACAGTGACTGGAAAATAGACGGACACAGCCCGCAACCAGCAGAGACCACGAATTGGATATTTGGTCGTGTGTTGTCGATCAGTTCGGACCGCCAAAGCCACAGACTGCTCACCGGCGATTAATAACAGCGCGTTATTAACTTGCGTTGTTGTGTAATTTAACGCTTTCAGTTCTTTCGCCCGGTCAGTCAGACGCTGGTAGTTGCGATCAGCTGCTATGCTGTAGTTTTTTCTTTTCTTTTTTTTAAAAAATGACGAGATTGATTAAAGTTAAGTGTGGATCTTTATTTCTGCTGGAGACCCGCTCTCAAGGTACGTGAGATTTAATTTAAGCGTCACTCTGACATACGAGCGCAAAATGTTGCCGCCGCTCGTTTACACTGTTTATTACATCAAAGTTCATGCGCGGCCTCTTTGCAAATGAATGTAGACCGCACGATTAGACTCCTTTTCAAGACGTAGTTCATCATCATCTACGAGAGCCAGACTGTGTTGGCCTGAATGTATATTAACTACTAAATACAGGACTCTAAATTAGTAACGTTATATATACCCAGCGCTCTTGAATGCTGCTTACATGTTTCTAGCTCACAGTCATGAAGTGCCCTGGTTACAAGGTTGAAATAACCGATTTTTTTCTCTCTCTCTCGTACCACTGCTGATTACATTCATGGCATAGCAGTGAAATGATTTTCGTCAGTGTCTCTTCTAAGATGCCAGATAGCAAAATGTTAAATGTCACAGGAAAAGAAATCCTTAAATAATTTCTCAGCGGGCTTAGGTCAAGCTGATGTTACCCAACCTGGCAGCTTTAAGTCTGCTGAAGTTCACATTTCTCTGACTAACCCCTCTGTTTGAGCATTTGGGGTTTCTCCTAATGCACTTGACATGGTTTATGGAGAGTGAGATTTCCTTTGTTTGACCCTAGGATTAAGTGTGGCAGAATTACTTATTCACCATGCACATACTGGGAAGTTAAAGGATCAAGGAGTACCTATTGGCCCTGTTTTTCATTTGTAGGTGTGTATCCAATTGAAGTGTTTCCTGTTTTCTTATCATGGGGAACTTGACATACACACACACAGCCCTTTTCTTGTCCTTGCATGTTATTAGAATCTATTAAATAGACTTTTAAAGCATTTAGATTTTTTGTTTGTGTATGCACACTGATTAATATGTAGAAAAGGAAGATCCAGCAGATATGTTTGTCATTTGGCAGAGATGTTGTCTTTATGTTGGATACTGGTGAGATTATCAGTTTTTAAATAACCTCAATTTAAATTTTTTACGATAATAACCATCTCATGGGCAAGTAAAGCAAATTAGCTAACATGATTTCAGATTATATGCAACTAAAGCTAGCAGACCTAGATGCATGTTAAAACAAACCTTCCCAGATTGACTGAAACTAAGCTTGTCCAGGCCCAGTTAATGTTTACCTGACAGCTTGAGCTGTCGGCTCAAAACCAGATGCAGGTGGAGGTGGTCAGGCAATGTACACTTTTACACAAGCAGTAGCAGTACCACCCCAGACTAGAAAGTGGCTTAAATTAATCTATCAACAAGCAGCAAAAACACTGTGAGCTCTCTGGCTGGAATACCATAGTATTTGTGAGGTAAAACACTAGCACAAGCTTGATGAACCTTGTCAAAAACTTTACAAGTTATAACTAATGGCTTTATGAATTGTTGCTCCTTTCATGACAAAATAACAACATAGTAATAAAGTAAACAATTATTTCATTGTGAGCTTTCAGTCTGGGGACAATTAATGGGCCATTATTTACACCATAGAGATTGCTTATGGTCTGAAGATGTTTTGTGCATTTTTATGATTTCAAGAATCAGACATGGCCTGTAGCTTTAAAGTTTTTGTTTTGGAAATAACAAGAAATTGGAAACTGCTGCCAGTGTCTGAGCTTGTGTGTTTTTGACTGATCCATCTGATTAAACACCAGTTGCCTCATCACACTGATGCAAAAATCCAGTATTGCCATAAAGTGGTCCTGCTTCTTGATTTATAACATTGCCCAAAATGGCTTAATATGCCCAGAGATATTAAAGGGATGGCTACCTTCATTTCACGGTCTTAAAAATTCTCTAGCTGATTATAAACTGGGTCTTTCTATGCAATGTAATTAATTGCAAACATTAATTATAGTTATGAGTTGTAGAATAAATGATTATAATACAGTTCTTGTCCGGTATGATACTAACCCACAAAGTAAGTTTTCTGTGGTCTTGCAGTAGGTTAAGAATAAAGTACACTGTTGTACACATTGCCCAGTAAACACCATCTATGCTAAAACAATTTAAAGCATTATGAGGGAAAAGGTCTGTGTTTTGCTCTTATCTATTTCATGATTTTGGTAACACTTGAAAGATTGTAAGGCAGCACAATAATGTCTTAAGTTGTGTGTGTGACGATACTGTGTCAGATTTTAATAAAATGCTCAGTATGTGCAAAGTGAGAGAGTCTATAATAATAATAATCTATAATAAATCACATCTAACAGGAAATCATTGCAGCTGCAATGCTTACATGGTGACACTGACAGGCTCACTGGCCACACCCCAATCACTGATGTCAAACAGGTATTTTGACTTTGACAGTAACAAGGAAATATCTGATCTCAGTATCTCCTACCTGTGTACAGGGTTTCTACAAGTTCTTGTTTTTGTAAAGTTATTGATGGCATCAAAAACCACCTGTTTGCTTCAGAGCTATAATCCATCATTAACTAAGAGCCGCACACAGGTGCTGATAATCCGTAAAAGAGGATCTGTTAGATAACACGGCGTATGGTGTTGTAGTTTCTCAGATAGTTTTAATTTTCATTTACAAGATGACAAATAGCTACTATGTTCAAACACTTGTGCCAGTATGAAACAGGAAAGAAGCAAAAGTGAAGAGGAAACAAGAGCTTTTCAGATGTCCTTTTTTGCAGTGGAGGATTATATCTTCAGCAGCAAGCAAGCTGTCTGGTGTCTCGACTTAAACTGTAAAATTAAACTTACAGAAACACATTAATTTTACCTGTACATAACCTTCTTTGGAAGAAAGTAATTTCTTGCCAGAGCAGTAGTCTCCATCCATTTTACAGCCTGTTTACATACAGAGTTTGGTCATGAACTTGAACTTCAGTGTACTGAATTGTGTCATGAGTTCAGGTTTCTAGTTAAAGGCTTTAAATACCAGAGAGCACAAGTTTAACTAGACTCAGGTGTTTTTAAGCTGTTAACCTTGCAAAGTGTGGTTTAACCACAATACTTCAAAGAATGCAGGCTGATATGTGAGGTGTCATTTTACACAGCTTTGCAGAATGACCAGACAGTTAAAGCTGCAAAAAGCGATGCACTTAAAATTACATATCTTTTAGTTAATTTTCCAAATAGACCTTTTCAAAGTGGGTTAAATTAGATTATCAGTGTTCAATAATTAGTTTTATGTTGCTTAAATAGGAAATTCATTTGCACATCAGATATTTTGTTACTGTATCAACTTTTCATGAAGTTATTATTTTGGAATTAGGAGGTTTCATTCTCACACTACAACACTGCAATCTGTCTAAACGGTAGTTTGGCAGTAAGTGCGGACAGGGTCGCAACAAATGCAGAAGTTACGTTTCTGATTAAGCATTAGTGTTTCCCTCAGTGATAGCAAATGTTTTTCTTGCTGAACATGAAAAGAATGTCGAGATCAATTTGGGAGACATAGAAATTGCAATGGCCTAATTGAATAATAAATTTTACTCTTTCAGCCTGCTGCGTTTCCTGCGTTTTTGTCTCGTGTGTTTGTGTGGATAGTGGAAGAAAGGAGGAAATATTGGTTTGTTTACATTAATTAAGTCTCTAATGGAAAGGTTGCAGGTCCCAGTTGAAAGAAAGGTTTGAGAAAGATTTGGAACATGGCAAATGCAGAACAATTAAGTGTGGTTAAGGTTGGTCAACGCTTCAAATTGGGTAAAGACTGTGTTCGAGGTTCAAAATTGCTGACTTGAAGTAGGAGAAGGGATGTGAAACTGGGCCTCTTGTGCTTAGGCTAACTCAAACACTTTATATGTCCATCCACGCTACTTTGTGCATTGGAACTAAATGCTGTCAGTCAAAAGTAATTACAATTACTTTTGGCTGACAGTCCCCACTCCCTAATAGGAGTAGGGGAGATTCTCATTGGCCTCGTGTCCTGCCCCTGGAGCCCCGGGCGTCGGGGGTGCTGTGGGGTTGGTGACGGCCTTGCCTGATCTGGGGTGGGCTGGGGGTGGTCGGGGCTCCCCTGGCGTGGGGGCCCGCTCATGACCTAGGGATCTGGGGACTCGGGCTTGTGGCTTTTGCTCATTTCTGGGCGGGTGGTGTGCCTGGGGGCCCGTTGTCTCCTCTCCCCACCTGGGCCCTCTTCGGCAGGGGTGAGGCTCCCGCTGCTTCCCCCTGCCAGCTCTCTCACAATGGGGGCATTCGGGAGTCTCTGGGGCACATGGCCGGTGTTGTCGGGGTAGGTTTTGGTGCTCCTCTTTGGGTCTGCTTGACTGGGGGGGCTGGGCCCCCGTCCGGGGATGAGATCGCCCTCGGGGGCTGCTGGCTCTGCCTGCACTCTGGGGAGGGATGCCTCTGGCTGGGCTGGGGGACTGTTGGCCTGGTTCTCCCGCGTTATCGCTCCCTGGCGGCGGGGAGCTTCCTGGCATGGCTTTCTGCTGTTCTTTCTTGGGGCGGGGTACGGCTTCCCCCGGGACATGTGGTCTGGGGTCCTTTGTGCTTTGGGGGGTTGCAGGGTGCCCTGGCTTCTGGGGGTGGTGGTCTCTGGGCGCTGCACGGGTTGATCCGGTTGCGGTTTGGAAGGCTGCGGTGGGATTGTGGGGCAATTGTCGATGCATCTTGATGCATTGTGCTTTTTCCCTGGGCAGGGTCTCTGGATGGCTGCTGGGCGTTTAGTTTGTGCATTGGAGTCCGGGGGAGGCATCTCCTCGTTGGCTTGGAGGGACCTGTTTGCGTCCCTGGTTTGCTTCGTTGGCCTCGGATCCATGCTTCCCCATTTGTCTGTCGGCCAGTTGTTGGACCCCTCTGGATACTGAAGTATAAAGTTAGTTTTCGGGATGTGCAGTGTGGGTGCAGGGCTGTGCTCCGGTTTGTTCTGGGTTTGTGCCTGGAGTTCTCGGCCCTTGACGGGTGGGTGGGTTGGTGGTGGCATGCAGCTGAGCTAGTTGATTTTGCCTCCTTGCTGGTTTGGCTGGTGTTGCACGGCGGCCTGGGGGTGTGCTGGGCATGGGGGATGTCGGCTGGCGCCGGCGGCCTTAGTTTTTTCCGGCGGTTGGGGGGACGGCGGACTTTTATTTGCAGGTGCACGGTGACCTGTGCGGCGCGTTTGTTGCCGGGCTGGGACTTGCTGTTGGTGTTTCTCTCCGCTGGCTTTTGCTGTTGTGTTATTCCGCTTGCTCTCTCTCGTTTACCCGACCTCGCACGCGGGATTCGCGGGGGGCTGCTGGGCATTGGGTGTTTGCATCGCGGTGCATCTGGAAGTCTTTGTTTATTTGATTTTTTTTTTGTTTTTTCTTTCTCCCACCCTTATTGGCTACTGGGGTTCTTGCCTGCCTGTTGCTGGGGTAGGTGTGGCACAGTCGTGGCGCCCCACTCTCACTAACATCTACATTCTTTAACAGGCTTATGCGTACACACATAAAGATACATTCACCCACACGCACACAGACACACACATAGACACAAACAAACTTAGGTTGTCCCTGGTAGAATTATTCCTGATGCTTTTCTTTCAGTTACTTATTTAAATGAATTGTTATTATTCCAGCTCTCGTGGCTGTGTTGTGTTGCTTATTTATTGTGCGTGACTGTTTCTTGTTTTCATTTTTCTCTTAGTTGTCAACTATGTCAGCTGTTTATTGCTGCTGTTCGGCTGCTTGTCTTTTACTATGATTATTATTTTTATTGTTTGTTTTTGTTTGTTGTTGTTTTTCTCTTCCCCAAGCCCCCCTCTCTGTTCTATTTCAGGTTTCCTTGCTTTCTGCAACTGGTGTTTCCCTCTCCTTTTCCCTGTTGTCCCCACCTTCTATCCCCCTTCTCTTGCAGGTCTTGTCTTTTCTCTGCGCTGTGTGTTTGTGCCCCCTATCCCCGTGTCTGCCCCTCTGTCCGGCCTGGTGACAAATCAATACATAATTAAATAAATAATAAAACAGACAAAGGAGTATATTAATACTCTCTTGTTAAAGTAAAATCTGTCTGGCACAATATGGTATCCAGGTCATCATATTCTATACCAGGCTGCTGGGCAGGACAGGTTTAGAAAAAAAAGAAAAAGTAATTACAATTGCAAATTAGTTATATGATCATAATCTGTTGAAGACATGGTTGAGCAATGCGTTGTCTCCTGGTTGTTAATGTCTGGCAAAAATCCTCAGTTTGCTGCTTCACAGTAAAAGCCTTTCAGGAATGTCTCCCTGCTTCATGCCTTCTGTTTGATTTCTTTAGATTCTCAGCTGTCTCTGACCTATTTGATTTTGTTGTGTAGAGAAAACGGGAATCAATATATGCACTTTCATTACAGAGCAATGAAGCAACCAAGAAGGAAATGTGGCTAAATAATTGAATATGCCTGCCGAGCAGGAGTTTTGTTTCTAAGAAGGATCTGACTGAAGAGTATAGGCTAGATTTTGTAATAAAGCATGGTAAAAAGGAGCAAATCAGAAAAATGGCGATGCTTATGTCTGTGAATCAAAAATAAGAAGCGGGGACATATGGGCATATCAAAACTGTGAACAGCAGTGCCTGGTTTTAAAGCATAAAGCAGCAATTGATTTTACATGAATTAGCCTTAGATCAAAACACAAGTGATATGAATTTTGACACTGGTCATTTTTGCCATATTAACTGACGTTACATAATTTGTGAGGGGCATTCTTCACAGTTTTCAAATCTGACACATGAGGATTTGAAATCATATTATATCACCTGATATGAGGGCACGAATTTCAGAATTTCAGTGAATGTTTATTAAGACTAACTAAAGATGAAGTCTGAGGTAAAGTGATATTAAACATGTTTTTTGCCATTAAGACGATATGTTAGTTTACTCTTTCGAAATAAAATGTATTGATTGAGATTAATCCATAGACATTATCAGCAGTTACATGGGGAATGAGGTAATCAATCAGATGTAAATGAAATTGACCCCTTAGTTTCTAAAATCAGCAGGCCGTCACTGCCGTGCTTCTTCCTCTTCTCATATGTTGAACCACTGAGAAATATCTTGAGCCGCAATGCCCTGCTTTGTCACTCGAAATGTACCAAATAAGTCTGCACATCAATCCATCCATTAGCTACACCAGCTTATCTTTGTTGGTCGCAGGAGGGGCTGTAGCCACTCCCGGCTGACACTCGGCGAGAGGCGGGTTACATCCTGGGCAGGTCGCCAATCAATCACAGTGCTGACACATAGTGACAGATAACCATTTATGCTCACATTCACATATTTACATTTTTACAAGTCACACAGCGTTGCTGAGCGAGTTGTGGCTCACGTCATTTTGGCTGGGGATTATTAACCGAAGTGGTGCTTAAAGACATACAGTTGTGTGTTCACACTATTGGAGTAGAGAAGCAGGACTTAATAGGAGATATTGAAACCTAAGATAAAAACTTATTCCTATAATGAAATACTTCCATCTGTTACCTAATTTTCCATTACAAAAAGACTTGCTGTCAGCTCAGGCTACTTTGAAGTAAAGTGCAGGAAGTTTTTTCCTAGTTAATTATTCAGGTCTGCACCACATTACTCTTGAATTTCCATGAAAGTACTCCCCCCTCTGACAATGGGACTCATTTTGATTGAAAATGATGGAAAATGCAATAACTTGTAGCTTCCCCTGAGGCACCTTGTGCATTGCTCAGTGTACATGTGGAATAAAGACAAGGCACGAAAACAAAAACACTGACGACTGCTTGAATTCACATTACCCACCAACTGTAATAATAACTTGGGTATAACTGCCACATAATCTAAAATATCAGCAGACCACAAAACCATGAACTTTAATCAAAGTTTTAATTAATGTTAGAGGAAAGTAGTGTTTAGTTTTTTTATTACTCTTTGTTATTGTGTCTGAGATGATGTGTGTTCTGTTAACCACATAAAGTAAAAAACAAACAGAAAACAAATTTTTTGAAGTGTAGACTATATTAATATCTGTAATTGAATACAGTCACATGATTTTTCATTGCAGCTGGCCAAGGCAGCAGTCTATGAGTTCCTACTTTGGTTTATAATAGAGGTGTCTGCTCCATGTTGTTAGAGCTTGCCTTGTACAGAGGATGTGAAGGAGGTGGCTGCTCTACACTCACTTTTTTATGATGGGTTATCAAAAGAGGTTTCTGTCTCAGACATTTTTCTAGGTCAGGGGAGCTCCTCCTGTGCAAAAACACTTCTTTTGTGATGAAGTACTGTACCCAGGTAGTACATGAAGATTGTTAATGCACTTTATATTGTATTATTAATGGTTATCCAGCAAAACACATTAAGCCCTTGAAGGAAAAAAAGGCCAGATATGTTTTTTTTTTTTTTTTTTACAGATGAATGGAGTATCTCTCTGTATATTACTTAAAGCAGAGCCCAAAGAAAATACCTGCTTACGTTAACATGAGTTTATGCAACTGTCGCCATCCACAACAAAATGGCCACTTTCAGGATGTTGTAATCAGTTTTGTCTGTTTTCACAGGATTTGGCGTTTCTGTGGTGGATTCAAGGAGGCGTTGGGCATCTGGTCCTCAGTAGGTTTTTCCAAAAGAGTGTTCAGACGAGGTCAGCGCGAATGGGACTTATAAGACTTCAGAAAGGGCCTGGTTGGGAAAGGGAGTGAGTATGGACAACCTTTCTGACTTCAGTGGCCCCTGTCCATCCACCCGCAGGGAATGGGAGTGAGTATCAAAACAAGTTAACTTGACTTTGTGATCTATTTCTGCTCCATATACTTTATAACTACCCATTTGAAAATGTGTAAGTAGTTTGTCAACATGTAAAGGGTGAAAGAAACCTAAGCTGGTATATGTAAGGCATGCATGTAAATGTAGTCAGACATGCTTTGGAGACCTCCTTTACCCTGCTTTAACGTCCATCTTATATCTTGTATGAGTCCAGTGACAAAGGTAATAAAAAAAACATAGAATTATTTGGCTTTTGGATACAAATGTTAAGCAGTTTCCACTATAGATTGTAAGCATTAATGTGTAAATGGTTAATTACTGGTTAATCATTAAAATAATCTAGAATACAAAATGCATGTATATCCTTGATCAAAGCTTTATTAAATTTAATTGGACATCTATCATCCAGCATAGTACCACTGGCTTCTTTTGGCAAGCTAACATAGATAGCAAGGTGTTTTTGTTATTTCCTCCTTAAAATACCTCATCTCACCTTTTCATTCGCCAGGTAAGCACCATCAGAACTTTAAAAAATGTTCACGCCACTATTCTTTTCATAGTGGCTGAACAATAGTTCAGTGCCTTGCACAGTTTGATTATTATTTCTGTGAAATGAATGGCGTTAAAAAAGGGGGGGTGTTGTGCTCATCAGAAAGTCTGAAAAGACGTTTTTCAGTCAAACCAGTGCAAAGTTACTGTTAAATAGAAATGGATGAGAGTATGGATTGACTATGGATTAAGGAATAAGATGATTTCTAAGAATTTTGCACTTTTCTGTAGTCTTTAATTGTCAGTCTATAATATATGGGGAAATATTAAATAAGCAAAAGTGTTAAAACACATTCTAAGAATTGATTTAGTAAATTTAGGCTCTGAATAATTGAAGGCATCTGTCCTTTCCACATTATATTACCCCACAGTTTGAGCTGGAGAGTGCTACAGTTTTAAGATGCATATACATTTCCCATTTCTCTGCAAAGCAGAGAACATTTCTCACAGATGTGATCAAAGCACTTGCATATGCAAGGGGTAATTAAGCATTTTAATGAATCCCTGTGTGGCTTTATTAATATTGATATAACATAAAAATAACTTCAGCACTCACACAGAATTTGAAATTTCTTTTTACACAAACTTCAATGCCTTGTGACTGATCATCTCTGTTGTCTTTAATAAACCTGTAAATACTATATAAAAGTCCACACATTCTGACCTCAGATAGCAAATATCTACAAGCAATAATGTGTAAAAACAATAACATTGGCCGCTGGCTAAGCCCACCCTCTGCTCAGAGCAGAAGGTATTTTCTAATTTAAGTGCCATATAATGTGATTCCAAATGTTAAACTTGCTTCTCCACTTCTTGCTATTATCAAACTGTGTGAACCTCAGTGTGTGCAGACAGCATAAACCAAAATATCTATATGGAGTAGGATGTTTACATGCCACAGTAATCTTTATAATATAGGAGAAAAACAAGGTACTTCAACTGTGTAACCGGGTTAAGATGCAAGTTAATGCTCATAGGACATTTTGACATGTTACAGCGGAAAAAAAAAGTGTAAATGACAACATTAATGATGGCTGAATTCCATTTAGTTGCTTCAGTGTCAGGATCCTGGTGTTGTAAATGTTGGCTCACTGTCACACTGTCATGGCGTACTGGGACAGAGCCCTTATAAGTAACACCTGATAAGCTATTATTTGTTGTTAGCCTTGTCTGATGACAATATTACATTATCAAAGAAACTACATTTACCTTGTACCCCTGTGTTTTCCAGCACCAACAGCTGCGTGGATGATTTAATGGATGAAGATGAGAAAGACAGGGCTAAGAGGTATGTGTGAATGCTCGTATGTCTTTCAGTTTGGACTTGTGTCTGACTGTAGATACACGTACGGATAATAAGGCCCCATCCACACTACTCCGTTTTAGTTTACAAATGGAGAATTAAAACGAATATGATCTCGGTCCACACCAGCGTTTTAGTTGCGTATCAGAGTTGATCTCCGTCTACATTAAAAGGAGTGAAAACGCCCATCTAGTGGCCGTTCATGTATACTGGGCATGCGCGTGCCGGTGTAAACATGAAGCAGATGGTCTCTTCCGTAGATGATTTGGCGAAAGAAATGCAGAAGAATCAGACCAGATTTTTTTTTGCATGCACCAATAACGAGGTGGGACTGTTACTGAATGTACACGGGAGAGCGGCGGCGGAAAACAGAGTGGGAGTTGACGCAAAGGAAACGGCGACACGCACAGTACAAGTGTAGGCAGATAAGTGTTATTTGCACGATACAAAATATTTTAATAAAAAGACCAACTCCAGAACTTCGTCAGTAGCATTGTGTTTCTGCTTTGCATGACTTGTAAGACCCAATCAGAGAGCCGAGCGTGAGCGTCTGCATCATCGTTTCTAAAGTCCTCCGGAGATTTGAAAGGCAAAACGGGGTCAGCAGCGCTTCCAAACTTCTCCGTTTTAGGTCTTCGTTTTCGCCGTTTTAGTCATTTAAAACGTTTATTGATCGAAGTCTTCCATTTTTAATTTTCAACACACGTATCAAAAAATACCTTAAATATGTTTCCCACAGCTTGTTTGGTCACTCCTCTCACATTCAAATATAAAACAAATTGCAAGCTGTAGTCTTTCCCCGGATAATACTACCCGTGATGATGACCTAATTAGGATGAGGAGCGATCTGATACAATTTCCCAATACTTCATTTAGCAGTTACCCTATTTGAAACAAGAAAAACATAAAATAGACCTTTCTTTTCCATAACAACAATAAAAATAATAATTGGCTACTAATCAACTACTATGGCTTCAACAGGTGGCATTTTATGCAAGGTATCGAATGAAGTACTCAGTTGGTATCGGTATCACTTTAAGGGTACTGGTTTTGGTTCTAGTATTGTAAAATTTTAAATGATACCCAACCCTAGTGCCAATAGTTTGTTGTTTATTCTGTTAATAGGATAGTAAAATAATTTCTCAGTGGTACAGCCCCATGTGTAATACATTTGTCTGACAATGGAAAAGTTTGTTTTTTTTAATATATATGAAAAAATGTAGTAATGGCCTTAATGTTGGGGAAGCCAAGTCTAATCTCTTTGTCCCAGTTCTTACAAAATGCCCGCTCTGACCCATTTGATGAATTGTGTAATTTGTAGAAATACATTTCTAATTTCACAAACCTTGAATCCACTAAAAAGGGTAGATGGGAATGTTCTAAAATATTTCAGCTTTCTATAATTCCAGATTAGTCAATAATAAAAGATCCATCTCAGATCAACAACATAATGCTGTATTAATCACTTTTGGGCACAAGGGGCAGAGGAAATCCCAAACAAGCTGACAGACACGCAGCCCTGAGTTATTGTGATAGCAAAGAGTTTGTTACCTACACATTTAACAGACATGGAGCAACATTAGCATTCATTAGGAGTTGTGTTTTTGGTCACCTGTTGAATGTAAATCCAGTATATACAGGTTTTTACCTCTCCTTTTTTCTCCACCAACTCCTGAGAGACATATCTCAGTCTTGCTAGCTTGACTGTTTTGTTTAGCTAGTCACTATCTTTGTCCGGTAGATTGGTTTGTAGCAGGAAGCTTACAGCGGGTTTATCAGAGCTTGTTAGCTGAAAACAGCTGTCATACTAGACAGTAAATGTGTGGGTTGTCAATCCGAAACAGTGAGCTAAAAAAGGCTAAAAGCTCTATTGTACTGCAGAGTTGGTTGATAATTCTCTGCGGTTTCATCACGTCGAGCGTTGCCTCTCACACCACACTCCCAGTCACTTGATTCAATATTAATTAATTAATCACAAAGTAAGCTGTACAGTGTAAATTTCACTGAACCAGACTTCTATATTCTGTATTTAATGAACTGGCTCATATTGTTTGTTGTTTGAGCCTGAATTTGAATTTTGTATTTGTATGGAGTTCATGACGTAATGTGTAATTGTCCAAATTATGTTCTTTGCTCTTTTTTTTATAACATAGTCATTTTACCCACACCTTGATTGGCTCAGATTCCACCTGTAATTCCACTGATTTTGAATTGTTCTCATTGCTGAAGGGCATCTCGTAACAAATCGGAAAAGAAAAGGAGAGACCAATTCAATGTGCTCATCAAGGAGCTGTGCACCATGCTGCAGGGTCAAGGTCATCCGCGCAAGATGGATAAGTCCACCATTCTGCAGAGAACTATTGACTTCTTGCAGAAACAGAAAGGTAGAAAAATGTAACAGCATATTTTTATATGTTTGAAAATTTTTAAAAGACTGTATTAGAACTGTTTCTACTAACTAACCTAACCTTTACACATTTTCCCCTTTATTTCAGTTATTAACTAATACACTCCTTCTCTGTTTCTATCATTTAATGGACTTGATCCTCATGCTTGTCTTTTTCAGACATGACTGCACAGAATGAAACTTGTGATGTGAGACAGGACTGGAAGCCTTCATTCCTCAGCAATGAGGAGTTCACTCAGCTAATGCTTGAGGTAAAGCTCAGGAGGATGTGTTTGAAGAACAGGCCGAGTCGATTAAGCTCTGACATTGACTAATATTGATAATAAAACAAGGAAACATTGTCCATGGAGAGCCGGGCAAGATGGTATGATGAGAATGAAATTTTCAGCTGAATTATATTTTCAACACATGCCAATATAATATTGTAATGCATTTAACTACCACAGATAATGATGATATATTACAATGTAAGAGTACTATAACACATTATAACCTCCTTGTCTCCTTCTTACAGGCCCTAGATGGTTTCCTGATAGCATTAACTACAGATGGCAACATCATATATGTATCTGACAGCGTGTCTTCACTTATTGGCCATTTACCGGTAAGTGAGAAAGCTTAAATACCTGTACCTCTATTCTCTTGGTAACACTACTTTGAGTATACATGCTGTTTGATTAGAAACAAATTACATGTTTGATGCCGCCTCGATGTTTATTTCATTTTTGTAATATTTGTAATGAATGAAAAATAATTACATCTATCACTGCATGTGCTGCTTCAGGCCCTGCATGTATCTGAAAGTACTTTAAAATGCTCAGCAATAGATATCCTCCAGTGTGTAATTATTGATTATGTCACCTGTAATGCTATTTCTACAGCAACATTGTTGCATATGACACCCCAAAAAGACTGACCTTCAAACACCTGTTATCCTTTTGCACCAGTCAGATATGGTGGACCAAAATATCTTGAATTTCCTCCCTGAGCGGGAGCATGGGGAGGTGTATAAGCTGCTATCATCCCACATGCTGATGACTGACCCCATTGCTGCTGACTTCATGAACAGTGAGTATCCTACTGTGTGGCCACTCAGCACACGTCTGGCCCTTGTGTGTTTCTAACACCAACTTGTGTCCGGTTGTCTCCCATACAAGAGGTCAGAAGTTCAGTATGTGGGAGAAATACTGAACACGATAGTCAGTGTTCACTTGTAGGTCAAAACACTTGACTCTTGATATCTGTCTTGATATGTCTTGTTGACTTCTTTTACATTTCAATGTTTCAGAACATCTCCAAAGATTGTTCTCACACTGATAACATCACTTAAAATTTTTTATTTATAGAGCAGGTTGCTGAATTGGGGTCTAAAGTTTATTGGATTGCTGATTAGCGTGTGCCTATGATTAGCCTTTTAGCTAATAATAGGAGCTAGCTTAGTATCATAGTTAAGACTTTAAATCACTGTTATGTTAGCACAGTAATCCAAAGCAATGTAGTATCAGGGGCTCAAGACTCTGACCTTAATCCTGTGTTACTATTGGACTTTTCTGAGGAACAGAGTCGCCAATGTCTCTGTCTATCTTTAGAAGCCTAAATAGCGAACTGTCACAGTGCCATGTCTGGAGAGATCAGCATCTCTGGGCCACATTCAAAAAGAAACATCCATCTATTGTCTTTTTTGCATAAAAAAAGGATTGGCTGGCTTTTAAGCAAATTGACTGCAAACGATGCTGAGTCATACATACATAATACATGTGCAGGAAATTCAAAAGTTGTCGAGGTCAAAGGATTCGGTCAGTAAGTTTCTCCTTCATAGAGTTCACAATGGAAAGCGACTGAAGCTTAAAGTGCATTTGTTATGCTGTCAAACCTTAACTCTACCTGTCAGATTAATAGAGTGGGTTTTAAATTTTATCGAATACGGTTGTTATCGAATCTCGGTTCTGATTCCAACCCCTTCACTGCAAATCTTATCAGCGCGCTCGGTGACACTCATCCACTTTCTCGTTGCTCATCTTCCCCTTCATGGTTAATGTGAAAGGAGTTTCTGCACTAGAGAGGACTCTTTGGGGACTCATATCTAAGAAATGTATATATTGAAATTATTTGTAGACATCATTTGTTTACCTTCAATATAAAAGGTGAATGTCAGCTCACCTATGTTTTGTGGTGAGATGTTGCTGCTGTTAGTGTTTGCTGTATCTGGGGCGTCATTGTAGCTGGGAGACTGAACACAGTGTATTCCTTACTACAGTACTTAATACTTTGTCATATCGGAGATTCGGGTGATTCCTCCCTTGCACCAAATATTCTTACTGCAGGTGTTGCATTTTGCTGTGTTGATATCTTTTCTGCTAAAGCTGAGCCAAACACTCAAGCGTTAGCTGCGGTCCGCCATGGTCCAGGAATGTAAACAGAAGTTCTCTCTTCCAGCATACTTTGTTGATGCACAGCATAATAAATGACATGACGTTAGGTCGGCGTAGCAAGTCCTGCCAGATAATCGCAACTTTTATGGACTGAAAAAAGCTCACTTCAGTGCAATCGGGAGCACAGCTGAAATATGTGTCTTAACGTAAAGTTTCATATGTCTTTTCTGTAGAATAAAAATGACTTTAGAAGAAGCACCTAAACATAACATAAAATCTGTTTTTCAGGTGAGGCACATATTGAATTTTGCTGTCATCTAGCCAGAAGCAACATTGACCCAAAGGAACCACCTGTATACGAGTATGTCAAGTTTGTTGGAGATTTCAAGTTTCATAACAATGGTAAGGATTTTGTATTTTCTCTATTTAAAATTTTCAGTAAAATGTGTAACTTGAATGCATTTAGTAAACAGTGTGGTTAAGGTCCATGAATTCTTCTGATTTAGCATTCATTTAACAAACTGAATGGGGAGAAAAAATAGAAAAGAAAAGTAGTTATGGGATAAATTAAGTTGTCGCATTAACTGTAGGCCTCCCTCCTTGTACCTCGTCTTCTGTCTTGCAGTGCCTACATCTTCTTGTAACGGGCTAGAATTGACGTTGCCAAGAAGCCTGCAGTCATCGCTGGAGGAGCAGGTCTGCCTCATTGCTACTGTACGATTAGTCACTCCACAGTTTCTAAAGGTGAGACCAGCTTGGATCTTAAAACTTCCATTTATCTGACGCTTTTATCCAAAGCGACTTACTATTGCTATTTATGTCAGAGGTCGCACGCCTCTGGAGCAACTAGGGGTGAAGTGTCTTGCCCAGGTGTTACAGTGGGGGATTGAACCCAGGTCTCTCACACCAAATGCATGTGTCTTATCCACTGCACCATCACCACCCCAACTTGTGACTTTGTTTCTCAGTTTATGTTGCATGTGTGTGGCTACTCTCAAAGGAATCCTTAAAGGGGTATTGAAAACAATCATGAGGGGGATTTTGTCTGGAGGATCCCACATTCTGGTCCATACTAATATACTCCATCATGTCAAGCACCCTCTGGAGTTCTCCTCTTCTGGTACACTACACATTCAAAGTTGAAATCAGGACATATGGCAAGTTCTTGAAGTGAATTAAAGTCACAATCATTCTCCTGTAACCTTTCTGAGAACTTGTTAAGATCAACTCAGATCACATAAATAGTTTCATATTTACATTTACCCTCTCCAAACATAAGAGGAAAGGTATAAAATGGCACACATCTCCCATGATGGCTCAGGCCGGAGTAGCATTTACGAGAGTACAATCAATAAGTAGTGTATTGCGTGGACATTAAAGTCTCATTAAAATGTTTGTTTTCTCATGTGTGGCAAAAGCTGTAGACACATGATATTTTTCTATGAAGAATCTAAGGGAAGTCCAAAGTCCAAAAAGGCAACGTTTTTGTTAATTCTTTAAAAACATCTTTTCTGCCTTAAAATGTGCTGGAGCTCAGAGAGCCAACATGCCAGAAGAACCCGATCCATTGGACAGGTTTCAACTCTCCCCCACTACTTATTCCAAAATGTAAAAGACACTGATTACACTGAGTTTTTAAACTCCACACTCTACACAATATTTTTCACATTTCTCCCACAGACTAGTTTCAGTTGTCATAACATTTTGGTCACAATATACTTGAATGTTCAAGGTTACAGCTCCCAGGCAACATTCAAAACATGCAAACTGTTGTGACGCAGACAGTTATGGTTACAAGATGCTTATGTGTAAATAAAATTGTCAGGCACTAAATGTTTGATGCTAGAGCTGCAAAACTTTACCTACTGTACCAAACTTGCAATAAGAATTTCATTTCTCCATTTGGCTGTTGCGTATGAACAAAGCTGATGATTTGAAAACAAAATGAGGCATAACTTAATCCTGCTTCACATTAGAGTAGCAAAATTTAGCGAATGTCTTTCAAATCTCCCAATTACCTAAAAAGAGAATATTGTAAGACTGGTAATTTCTTACTTACACTGTGACTTTGTTTGTTCAGGACTTGTGTAATGTGGAAGATCCTTGTGATGAATTCACATCCAGACACAGCCTTGAATGGAAGTTCCTGTTTTTAGACCACAGGTAAAAGATTGCCACAGTTCCTTCTCCTGTCAATCAGCAGTGTAGATTTTTGCAAGAAAATATCTTCCATACATGTTTATCATCTTCTTTTTTGTTTCAGAGCTTCACCAATCATAGGCTATTTACCCTTTGAGGTTCTTGGAACTTCTGGCTATGATTACTATCATGTGGATGACTTGGAGCTTATAGCTCAGTGTCATAAGCAGCGTAAGTAACTCATCTCCAATATAGTTACAAGCATTTTTCTTGCACAGAAAAAGCCTTGACCTCTGTGACACCTGAACACAGCATTGATGTTCGCTTTCTCTTTTTTTCTCTTCTCAGTAATGCAGTTTGGAAAGGGCAAGTCCTGCTACTATCGCTTCCTGACCAAAGGTCAACAGTGGATTTGGTTGCAGACTCACTACTACATCACTTACCACCAGTGGAACTCCAAACCCGAGTTTATTGTCTGCACTCACACTGTTGTCAGGTAAGCCTGGCTGTTGCACTTTGGGGTCCTCTAACGTCTACACAGGGAGGAATGTGTGCAATGTCAGTGTCCTGGGATTAGGGATGTGTAAAGCATAGGCAAAAAAAAAAAAAAAATATATATATATATAATTTATCTATTTGTATAATACATTTCGTTACATATACACATATATCACACATACTCTTTCTGTGTGTTTTTTTTCAGTTATGCTGAAGTGCGAGCTGAAAGGAGGAGAGCGTTTGGCTTTGAGGAGCTGTCTCCACCGGAGATAGCCCCCTCCTCAGTGAAGGTAAGAGTAATGTGCTCTTCTACGTACAGTATGTGACAAGGTCAGTCTTTATGTTAGCTTCAAATCTGACCCTGGGTGTTAAACATCACTGTGTTCCAGGCTCAAGAGCTGTACCTGGACATCTGCTCCACACTGGACCCTCCACGGGACAGAAACAGCAGCGCACGTTCGGTATCCTCCCACAGCTCCCGGAAGTCCTCCCACACAGCGCTGTCAGACTCTGCATGTGAGTCATCCGTTGCTCCCTAAAGTGCTAACTCACTCAACAACAGGTCAATATGTACAGAAATCCTGCTGTTGTTATTTAAATTTAGTGGGAAAATGTTGATTTTTCTCTGTTGTTGATGAGTTATAGATGGCGTCACTTTCCAAGGCAGCAAATAATGTGATTCCTGCCGTTCACTGCAGCAACAGTGATAACACGCAGGGTTTTACTGGGTGTAAATAATGGGGATGGATCATCCATCCATCCATCCATCCATCGTCAACCGCTTATCCTGCATACAGGGTCGCGGGGGGGCTGGAGCCAATCCCAGCTGACATCGGGCGCAAGGCCCTGGACAGATCGCCAGTCCATCGCAGGGCGGGATGGATCATCCTTTTTTTAAAATTTAGAATAAAAACTGATAAATCCTATAGTTGATCTGAGGTAAAACCTCTGTAACTAAGCAGAGCAGAAGTCAATAAAACACAGACCTTCATATACAGTATGTGGGTGATAATGCATCTGTAATGAAATGTTTCCAAGCCTTAGTTTAGCATGCACTGTTTGTTTGAGCCTCCAGTCTCTCTGACTTCAGTTGCTCTTCCACCCACCGTCTAAAGTACTAAAACACTACACTTCCATCTGCATGTTTATGAACAATACACAATGGCAGAATTATTACAGCTGCTGTTCATAACATAGCTGCTGCCTTCCCTTAGCCCACACATTTTATCCACTATCATTATTTTCAGACATATTCATAAAACTGCATCTGTCAAAATAGTCAGTTAATGATTTTTCTTTGCTTCGTCATTTTGCGTCGATGAAAAAGACATCCACTGAATTCATCACAGTTTGTGGGTTTAAGTCAGAGGCAGAATGAGGTGGCAATCAACAGCTAGTGAATCAGCAGTATTGTTATACAACCAGAAAAGAAATGCATTTCATAAGTTGTTCTGCCTTTTCCCCAGAAACGCTATAGTTACTCTGTTTAGGAAGAAACTGTGGAGTATGGACACCCCCCTTTTAGAAGAGGAAAGATTGCACATTTTTAGTTAAAATCTAAATTTAAAGGGGAACTCTGATTTTACACATAAAATTCTGTTTACAGGTGTTGCATATGTGATAGAAAAGTATAAATCTTAGCATCACATGGGGTTGAAGACTACATGTTTGAAAATGAAGAAAATCTAGGAGTGTGGAGTTAGAAAGAAGTGAGCTTACCAGACCTCTGTAGCCCGCTCCTCATCTCTGCTTGATGCTTGCAGCTAGCGGCTACATTAGCCGCTACTAGCATAACACACCTGAATCCCTGGCCAAAGTGTCGTCAGTTTTGTTGCAAGGAATAAGATTGTGTGGAAAGACAATTACTGGAAGCAAATTTTATTACCTCTTTCCTCCTCTCCTCTGAATTTTTTTACAGTAATAAGACCCTGTTTACAGAGATTTTAGTGAGGAAATCAAAGTGAAACTGTCAAATTCTGTTGAAGGTGGGGCTATGTTATGCCCTTGTTGTCTATCAGAAAAATCCATAGTAGGAGCATTTGAAGTAAGCATTGAGATTTATTTAATTTGAGTGTCACTTTGTTCTTGCACCGATGATTGGCAGATTAAAGGATGTGTAACTGTATCCCACTCATGACAAGAGTAGGACATCAAGACTTTGAATATATTCTGCATTTGTTGTGGTTATCATCTTTCTTTTGACAAAAGAAAAACAGTGACTATGATCTAAATTAACATATCTTCAGTCTACAATTACCGAAGTGTTTAGAGGTCACCTGTTGTCTCTTCTGCAGCAGCTAACTCCTACACAGAGGCCTGCACGCCATCATGGCAGTCTGCTTCCATTGGGACAGAGAAGACACCTGCCAGACTCCAACCTAGTAGTTCAAAGGTCAGTTTATACACTTTTTTTCCTTCTTCATGTCTGTCTTTTTTTTGGAGATAATATGTCAGTGGGTTAGAAGCAAAAACTGCAGAAAGATTGTGCTAAATTTTAAAACTTTGTCATTTTCCCCTGTAGAATTTGGCACAAAGACAAAATTCATTTGACCTCGTTCCCCAAATGAGCCTTCCCCTTTCTCCTACCTGCAGCAAGCACTCCGCAATGGTTAGTGTTTAGACTTCTCCTCCTGCCTGTTGCCTTCCTCTCTTCTGTTTGTGTACATACAATATCTTATTATGACTGCTGCTACTGTATGTGTTTATTTCATCTGTTGCTTGTGCCTACAGGGCCCCCAGGCCTAGTTATAAGATTGTGTTAGAAAACCAAGTGAGGAAGACAGTTGAATCTGGAAAAAGTTTCAGATATAAATCTGAAACGTGTTTTTTTTGTTGCATCTTTTTACACACTGCTTCTATATTTCTCAAAAAGGTGGGAAGCTTTATCCATAAGCCATTATGATGCAACTGATTTTCTCCTCATATGTCACATTTACAGTAGCTTTTTCTACTGGAAAAAAAGTACAAGAGAAAACTGCCAGACTTTTATCATCTCTGTTCCCAACTGTTGTTTTGTATCATGTCTTTCCAGCAACAGCAAACACAACAGCAGCAGCAGCAGCAGTCGTCCATGTATCAGCTGCAGCAGCCTCAGCTCTGTGTAATGAACCAGCTTAAGGAGCAGCTGGAGGAGAGGACGCGCATTCTGCAAGCTGACATTAAGACGCAGCAGCAGGAGCTGCATGACATAAAGGAGAAGCTTCACCTCGCTAATCTCCAGGTAACACTCCCCCAAGATAAAATAAAGAAACTACTCATGGCAAGCTAAGTAAGATGAAGTGAACCCAAAGTGAAGTGGTGTTTTCTGCATTGGGAAAATTCATTAAAGAAAAATGTAGCCACAGACTTTAGGGCATATGCTGTAGATATCAGCTGTTAAGGAAAGTCAACATCATATACCAAGCTTGCCTCACGGTAATGGTGGAATAGCTCCACCATGAGGCCAGCATGAACCGGTTCAGCCACAAGTACTCTAGCCATGACCCACATCCTGTGGTATGCACAGAGAAGAGACTCTGGGAGTGTTTGTATAATAAATACAAATTGTCAAATGTCATTGCCTCCTGCTGGGTGTGAAGGCGACATGAGGGAAGCTGAATACAAACACACATTTTTGTGCAAGACATTAACGTTAGCCAATCAGAAATATACCTACACTTTCCTTTTTGTTTGCCAATGTTACTTCACCTAAATATGAATAAATCTGAGGCGTTACAGATGTGATTTTGAAACACAATGAACTCACTGTCTATGTTATAATAAAATAAAGTTTTATAAATTAACTGTTTTTACTTAGTAAATGGAAGATAAATTAAATATTTTGCGGTAATGTGTGCGCTAGATGTTGTTACAGCAGCCTGCCCACAGTGACTTTGGCCAGTCCCAGCAGCAGCCCCAGCAGCAGCAGGGCTCGGGCAGGCCGGCCCAGCAGAGCCAGTCGGGGGTGATCAGGCAGCACTCAGGCCACCCTAAACAACCATCCTGCGGGGTCCACAGCTCATCCCCTCACTCACTCCTGAGGGAAAGCAGCTCACCCTCATCACAGGTAAACGGCGGTACAAGCAAATATATCCAAATCTGAGACAACAAAACTGTCAGAAACCCACTAATGATGAGAGGATGATATAGCATCAAATTACCTTCAGTCATTAGCAAATAGCAACTCGTAGCCTACCTCTGTGCTCACAACACAACAAGTAGGCTGGTTATGGATTCAGCAGTTAATATCAGTCTGAAACATATGAACACCACAACAACAGGTAGAATCTTATCAGTTTCTTATGCAGCTTGTAAACAAGCACAAATACACCTGAAACCTAAATTGTCAGAAATACACAGCTGCTTATGTTGCTGCCTCTTTATCCTGCATTTTCATGTAGGAAGGAAGTATTGGCATATTATATATTTATTTAATTTGGTGGGTTCTATGATTTTTCATGCTGTGTATTTCCTTCAATTTTTTGTAGGTCCAGCAGAGGATTGCACAGAGCGGGCAGGCACAGTCGGTGAGTGTGCCCGTGCAGACAAACACAAGTCTGACAATGCCCTTCTACAGCAACCCCATGATGTTCTCTCAGACCAACACGAGGTCTCTGCAGGACGCAAACCAAAGACACACAGACAGCGAGTTCAGCCAAGACGGACAACTACGGTGAGAGCCCTGAAAAAAGACACAGTATGTTTCACATTCTGATACTCAAAACCACAGGTGCGGCAGACACTGTGGAAAATTCAGTCAGTTTTCTACCATCCCACACAGCAGCACAGAGTTAGCTACAGCTGGTAATAAACTGGAAATAAATTTAGCATTAGAATGAAATGGCGGGGCACATACTTTAGCTCTAACCTCTGAATCTGAAGTAGATGAGTCTGGCACCAAATACAGAAATGAATATCTTCTGCTAAGATCAAAGATACACTTCAGCTCCTTGATTAAACAAGTGTTATATGTGTTGTACTGCTTACTTTTTAAAGAGTGTGAAGGTGAAAACTTTGACATCATCGTTCTTTCAGTAACACATTGTATTTCCTGCAGCATGCTCCTCAACCAGCCAATGCAGACGCTGGTTCCCTCTAGCACTGTCACCTCGCAGCCTTCCCAGTGCAACATGGGCATCTCCCAAACCATGTGAGGACTGTTTAATTACACAATACACACACACACACACACATCTGTTTGTGTGGTGTTATTTCATATTGTGGCTAAGTTCTTCACTGTGCCTTCCACACAGATACACCTTGGAGCAGCAGATCATCGCTCCTTCATTCTCCATGCAACAGGTCAACTGCAACGCTGTCCTCGTGCCCTCCCCGGTCTTCACGTCCCCCATAATGATCCCACACAACAGTTTCATCTCAAACCAGTCCCAGTCAGCCTACCACGCTCAGACTCAGGCTTCTCAGCACTCCCTGCAGCTACAGCAGCCCCAGCAGTTCTTTCAGGTACAACCCCCATCCGATTTAGCGCGTGTATGTTGTTGTCCTCAGGTTTTATATTTTCGACTTTGACTTTGCATAAGGCTGATCAGTGTAAGTACCCGAGGCTTTATATTTACCGATTTATGATCATTTTAGGTCATGATCATTTAGCTACTGTGCAGTCTCCACAGGCTGTTAACCAAGAGAGCTGCGTTATTTACAACCACTCTAAAACCTCAGCTTTGTAACAAGGCGGTGATTTGATCTGAAATTCATTAGGTCAGGCATTGAAACATTTTGTCTTTGAGAACACAAGTGACCAGCCGTTACATTTATTTACCATAGATGAACAGTGTTAGTCTGCTAGTAGCCTACCTAAATCTCTCTACAGTATTACATCAGCTAACTTAAAGAGTCGCACTGTGGAGTCACTTTAGAGACTATTGGTTTTAGTCTCTGAAGGGCTCATGTTTAGTGTTGTAAATTATTGTTTAAGTCATAGAGTCATAAGAGACTGTACAAAGAATATTGGATGTAGGGGGTTATGCATTTCTTCTTTTTGCTGAAGGGAAGATGGCCTAAACTTTTAAAGGAGAGCTAGAAGGGTTTTAGTTTCTTCATTTTTTTGCACGCCAGAAAACCAACAGTTTTGATATTTTACATGAAAAACATTAATTCTGTGTGCTGCGCACTGGGGACTGTATCAGGGCTTTATTTTCTAATAGCTATGTCAGTTTTATAAGATTCACTTCACTTTATTCTGCATTATAACAGAACTACAGCAGCTCTGTTATAAGTTGTCATAGAGTTAACCTAAAATATAATGCATGTTTAGCACCTATTCCACTAATGGGTGAAACAAAAATATTACAGGACCTTCAGCAGTCAGAGCTGCTGCCTGTGCCCTGTTCACTCATTCACTCAAATGACATGTCTTTATGTGTACTCCAACGAAGGTTAAAATCAAGGGCAACTGGACTTGGTTGAAGATACTGGAAGACGTTTCGTCCCTCATCCAAAGGACTTCTTCAGTTCTGACTGACTGGCAGGGACAGACGAAATCAGCAACAAGGAACACTAACGAACCAGCTGTATCGATGACCCGGGATAACGACCCCACTGAGGTTAAATAGCTGAGTTTCACTGCCAGTCAGTCAGAACTGAAGAAGTCCTTTGGATGAGGGACGAAATGTCTTCCAGTATCTTCAACCAAGTCCAGTTGCCCTTGATTTTAACCTTCGTTGGATAACTATGACCTGTATGACTGAGACTCTTCATAGACGTTATGTGTACTGTAAGAAGTATTGTTCCATTCTCATTTTAAGCTTGAAATCAAGATTAAGATGCATTTTATTCAAGGGGAGAGTTAAAAGCAAATATCAATAAAGGTCTTGCTTTTTTTTTTAAAACATTGCTGATTTGTCAAACATTGTCAAACATTGCTTGTTTGTACAGTCCCTAAGGTAAACACCTTGTCACAACTGACAAGCACTGACACAGGAAAACTAGAATTAGGACCCAGATGCAGGATACCCAGGCTGAGCAGGTTCAGTTCACAGTGTTTACAACCAAAACAAAAAGGCAAGGCAACAATAAATCCAAACACATGAGACAGGCAGAGACACTTGACAAGATACGAAGACAATCCAACAAATGGCAAGGGGAAAACGCTGACTTTAATATACAGACACATGAGGATAACAAGGGACACAGGTGGACCACATTAGGGTGGAGCAAACATCTACAACAAGCAGGAAAACCAGAGACACGAAGTGACCAAAATTGAGAGGAGCGGTAAATAAAGTAAAAAGGGCAAAAGTCAAATACAGAACAAGAAAACACAAAGACAGGAAGTGAAATACACAAAGACACATGAGGAACGATTCACAAAATAAAACAGGAAATACAAAAACCCCAAACCTGTGACACCTTTACATTTCTTTTTACAACACAAAACAATGTCCTCACCTGACAGGAATGGCTTAATTTGTACTACACACTGATTTGTCTGGTGCACTAGTCTTACACTCTGATTGTTATTGGATATTCTAGTATGTAGAGGTAGCAACAGTTCAAGATAAATGTCACAGATAAAAGTTGGTTAAGATTGTTCTGTCAACTGGCCACTCATATTCTCCTTTGTGTCCACAGATGACTCAAGGACTCGTACATGGCGGATCTACTCCAACATTTTTACACACCACTAATGTCCCACAGCAAAGCACTGTGGGATACATCCAGCAGCAGCCGCAAACACAGCAACTACCGCAAGCAACGCAGCAACAGGCGCAACAACAAAGGCAATACCAACATTCCCAAAACCAGACTGGCAGTGTTTCAGACTTCGGAAATATGCTGACTCGGTAGCGCTGTGAACTACGTTAGAGCGCTGAGATTGCCCCGTTGTGTTTTCGCCGTGTAGGCAGCAGCATGTTGTGGCGTTTGGAAGTCAAACTTGATGCCAAGTTCTGCAGTGGAAAAGCTTGAGAGCGGCAAATTGCTTCTAGTGACGTAACTTCTGATGTGAAGCTGCCCATTCCGAAGAAGCCGGTGTGTACACCACAGGAGTGAAAACCACAAGCAGAGGCTGCACTGACCTGACGTCACCTGCAGGACCTGAGGAGCGTCTGAGCGGCCCAGATCACACTCACGTGTCAATCAGCGAAACTGCCGAAACAAGTGGATTATCAAAGCTCTCAAGAAGACACCGCTTTCACATGTTTACATGTGGAAGTTTTTCCTTCTAAGTGTCTGTTGCACTTTGGTACCACCCCCTACCCAAAAGCAGAATATTTATTTTTGCCCATGAATTAATATTCTATTTTAATCACTTGTAATGGTTTAATAGTGAGATTATTTTTCGAACCTACAGCTTGACTCCCCTCCCCAGTCACATGAAATCACTGATCAGATTTCTAGCTCCAGTGGTTCATCTCATAAGGGGATTTGTGTACACAGGAACTCAAGTGTGTATTTCAGTCGACAGACTAGAGACGTCGCTCCCATTTTGTCCCAAAAACAATGATTTACTTGCAGATATGTTCAGGGCAAGTCACTAGAGAGGAGCTTTACTATTAAACATGCAGTGGTGAGATGGCCATCATATCTGAAAAAAAGGTTTGGTAATAATTTAGATGTGAAACTCTACGCTGGGGGTGGGGGGATGTTCTTAAATAAGTAGAAAGGTCTATCTAGATTTTTAAAGCCTCAATCTGGGATTGAAGAAGGGGTGCTACAGCCATCCCATCACTTCTCACTGGGAACAAACAACAACACAGCTCTGAAGTCCTGATTTTAGGTTCTTCTGATGAGCTCTGCAGCACGAGTCCTTAAGTGATAAACAAGCTACCAGAGGGGGGGGGGGGGGGGGAATTGTGCCTTTAACCACGGTCCATGCAGTTTGATGGTTTTTGTCTGATTACGGCTTTAAAAATCCAGCTCAGGTCCATTTGGAATATAAATTTATATTTTCATAGATCATAATTTATTATTTTCCACATCAGATTTAAACAAAAGACATCTAGATTTGTAAAGGATATATTACAAGATGCTATTTGCAACATTCACACTAGTCAGTCCAAACTCTTTGTGTAATGATAGTATCTAATAAGATTCATTTAACTATTTACTGAAACCCTAATGAAATCATTTCATGCGGATTTATTTCATAGAAATTTGAAGAAGAAAAAATGTGATTACGAAATCTGTTTTATACCCAAAAGTTATAATTTGAATTTATGTGTTCATTTAGACATTTAAAGGTCAACACTGGTCTTAATGTCTTATCCCCATGTACGTGTGAGCTTGGTAGAGAAATTATTTGGGAGAGATTCTTCCTGCTGCCTGGTTATTTCTCTTCAGTATTGCCCCGTTTATTATTCTGCTCTGGTCCTTCATTTGTTTTGTCTATCTGACCATCTGAGAAGTCTCGACATGTACACTCTAATTATGACCATATGAACTCATTTACAAGTAAACAATACACTGCTTCCTACTATGAATGTGATCTCTGAGCAAACTATTGTACAGCTGCAGTGGTAACAAACTAACAACACTATATTTCATTGGAAGTTGCTCAAGTTCTTTGCAGAGTCAGTCCTGTCAGTATTTCAAGATGTTCCAATCTTGGTTCACTATGCTAGTTTTACCTCTTTGTGTGACAATCTTTGCAGTCCACCTTATGTGGTTTTTGGTTTGGTGGAGGGAATCGTGCTGCGATAAGTGCAACTGCTAATCAGCACTTGTAACTGCACTCCTATCTCAAACATTCATACCGAATATAAAAAAGTAACATATTTATTGGCTCAAGGTGCAATGCTGCGTTCTTTAAAGACAGTGTTGTCAGATTACAGCACTGCGGTAACGGTGAAACGACAGTGGTAACAGAATGAGGTATTGGTGAAGCCGGCTTAGCAGGTGAACGCGTCTAGAAAACACATTAAAAAAACATATGTCTCTTCTGTTAGTGACAATCAGACAGACAACTTGTAACAGTATGCAGGATAGAAACTGCCTGTGCCAGAATCTGACAATCTTTCTATCTTTAAATTTGTTCGTGGGTTACACAAGTTGTTCCCAAATGGCTCAGCATGAAAAAACAGTTTCTTGTGACTCTGTCCCTCCTGACATTCTCACCGTGGAACTTGTGCTCCACTTTATAAAAAGCAGTCCTTCACACTCGATGTGACAGTTTGGTCTCAGCCGCCTCCGCTGTACACATTCACATTAGCTACGTCGTAGTCCCTTTCAAGACTGGTGCTGTTCATCTTGGACGACGAGACTAAACTGTCAGAACACTTTCAACATGTACGTTCAGTGCCGTTTTACATTTTTCCTATGTGCAATGTCAATTTGAAAAGACGAATGTTAATTTATACTGTTTTAAATGTTTTAGAACAGATGTACGATGTATATAGAGGTGTATAATAAGCCATTGTACCATGTACATTATATGAAAGTATTTTTGTAATGCAAATGTCCTAACATTCCTTCAGCCGTTGATATCAGCAGTATCTTTTTAAGGGTGCAAGATGTGTCTAGTGAAAAGATGATTACAGTGATTACACTGTTTCTGCTTGGGAATGTGGTGCAGAGTGGTAGTTTTCCCCCCTGACATGATCACAAAGCACAAACTCTGGAGCAAAGGCTCATGATGTTCACCATGATGATGAAAAAAAGATTAAATGAAGAATCTGAATCCTCAATTCCCTGTCAAGCAGAATTTCAGACACTTGAAGAGTCCAGATCAGGGCGCAGGAACAGCTGTCCAGCTGTGTTGTCACTGCTAGTGATAAGTCGTCATGAGGTGATTCAGCCAAATCATACTGAAGTGAACCTGCAAAAAAGTTATTTTCCTTTTTTTCAGTTGAACGGGTTTCAGTTATGTAGCAAAAGTGAAAAAAGAAAAAGTGCAATTGTACATTCATCATTGAAATATTGTTTTTAGATGGCTGAGGGAAGTCTCCCTTTATATATTTCTATACATCCATGTTCGGCGTAATAACATTAAAGTGAGGTTCAGCTCGGCCAGCAACTCAAGAGGTGCCATAGAAGACTTATGTTTTTACTTTCCTTCAATTTTATTTCAGCTACTCAAAGATATTTTTGGGAAAAAATATTTTGCAGAATATCAAGCTTTCAGTCAATCGCAGAGCAATGTCCCCTAAAGGTTGTTTTCCATTTAAACACATCATGCAGAGAAGCTGTCAGTCCATGTTTGTCTACAAATCAACTGTTATAATACTGTTATTTGCCTTGCAAAGGTGGTCAAGGGAATTTCTGCTCCTTAAACTCATCGGTGAGTGAATCCTGTTGAGATAATTCATGCATTGTGCTCCAGATGTGGGTTAAGACCTTAATTATTTTGCTGTGGACAAATCACCTCATTCTCTGCCAGATGTTTGGATGTGAGGGGATTTTTAGAGATTTTTTTTGGTTTGTATTCACAGACGTTATTGTAAATAATCCGTCTGCTCAGTCGGTACTGTTTTTCTACATAGTTGCTCTCCCCAGCAGTAGATATCGCACCCTTTTTCCCTCCTCATCTTTCAGAAAGCTTAACTTCTTCATGGGATTTTTCATTAGTGTCATTGTTTTTGAAAGCGTGTGATTTTAATCACATTTAACTTGTGCTTTTCTGATTTGTAAAACAATGACCCACACCTTAAATGTGAGAGTGGGCAGTCAGATCGACTCGATTTCTGTGTAAGATTTGCCAGGACATAAACAAAACAAACCTGGTTCACAGCCATCTCTGCAGTTTCAGTGCAGAAACATTGAATATATTGTATAATAGAATGTAAAAAAAAGAAGTTTAGACTATATAGCTGTTTATTTTATATGTCCAATAGATTACATATGTATGTTACATGATTTTAAAATTAAAGTAATTTTGTAACAGATAATGAAGTGTCTTATTAGAGGATGTGAGGGTTTTTTGCGTTCAGGTTGGTGTTGCACAGTCACTTGTATGGTTTTCTTTCTGTATTTACCATCAAAATAAGCTTTAAAAATATCCTTAATATTGTTTTAAAAGAAATTAACAAATTACGTTTACATTCTAAAATATCTTGACATTAATTATGTTATATTGAATTATTTATAAATCAACCTGGATATTGTGATATTTGAAAATAAATATTTTTAAACATATGTATTGTTATTCTGAGCAAAAATAATTTATGTACAAGACTCTCAACTGTTTGTTCTGTAGTATTAACCTATGGAAAGGTCTCAGCAGGCCACTGGACATGGAGGAAAAAGGTTTGACACCAGCACTTAAATATTGTGCAACAAGTTGTCAATACTTCTGAGAAGAAAGTCATCTCTCATGTGATGCTAAACAGCTAACTAACTTTTAAGCACGTTTGTTGATAAATGATCAATGTAGCATGCAACGTCACTTGGTATTAATGAGTGCACAGCAGAGCGGAGCCCAGGAGAGCAGCTGTCACACCTCTCCTGTGGGTGGATTTTCACAGACTTATTTGATGGCAGCCGTCCAAAATACCATTCCTTTCTTACAAATATAGTCTACAGTGATGATTTCCTGGTTAGGGGAGTTAAACCTTTCGGCATGTACACGGACACCTTATTTGTAGCCTGAGTGAGGTCACAGTAAATACACTTAAATGCTGGTTTTAAATAAAGTGTGCAATCACATGTATGTCAGTGTTTTAATGGCTGATAAAACATTGTTTTCTCTTATAACAGGTAATCAGGCAATTTACAAGTATCAAACTGAGGTTTGGTATAAAACAAGTGGACTGGGTTTCCTTTGCGCTTTCTATCCAAAATAACTGTCTAATTACATGATTAATGTTTGCTAACAATAATTACAAGCTATTCTAACAGAACTGAACACTCACTCTTCTGTGCCTCCTAGTCGAGACAAACCTCTGACACTCTGTACACCTTGCTGATTATGACTTCCACCTTATGTCCACCCAAATGACAAAGGTCCAAGATGCACACGACATGCGTATCCTCTAGCTCACTGGCAGTCGCTAAGACCTCCTCTGCAAGACAAATAAAATGCACATTGTCACCTGTCAGACTGATCCTAAATATGATGCTATGTATTAGAGGTAAGTGTGGTGGCTACCTGGCTCAGGAGGTAAAGCTTCACTGCAGTTGGCAGAATCACTGAGAGGGCAGATGAAGCCAGACGAAAGGCAGGAGAGCATCGTGTTGCCGTGAGGATGCTGAGGAAGACCTACCGCCCTGGGCTCATCTGAGCTCACAATAGGAAAGTACGCGGCATCAACGGCCATCTGCTTGTTTATGCCTGTCCGAAAAATATAAAAAGAAGAAGGTTGTAATCGCAGTTCTTTGTCAACAAATCTAACAACATAAAAATGAGATGTTAAGATGTCTGATGTTATTTTTTGAGATCCTGATTTTCAGTGCTAACTGAAGGCGGGCACTAAAGGTCCTAATGGACCTACCTGACAATGTGTGGTGACTCAATGGGTTTTGGGACATTTGTTCAGAAGGTAACAGACACAAATGTTATGATTCTAAAAGCTGTTCAAAGACAACATCATGTTTAACTACACAATTTGATGAAAATGGAATATATGGCATAGAATAAACATTAAATAAAGCAGATCCACCTTAACAATACGGAGCTGTATGAATTTTGCTGTTTTCCAAATGTGACTCAGACCTCTTACTGTGGAATTCAGTTTCCGCTGACGGCAGGTCTCCACCTCAAAGTGACTCACTACATCCTCTGAATAATTCAGACTGAATATTATGCAGGAAACAAGAGGATGCTCTGATAGTCTACAGTTTGGACGCAGAGGCTAAATTTAATATCTTGTGTGTCACAGATCAGAGTAATTATTACATTATAACTCTACCTAATATTGTTACTTGGTAGTATCCTGGACAAACCCCAGGTGGGGTGGTGGTGTCTGTGACTTGCTCTGGTGTCCACTGCATTGGCTGAAGGTTACTCCACTGCAGGAGGACGTACTTTTCATCAGAGGTGAACCTCTGAGAGATACTGTCCTGGTACAAACCACCTTGACACAAATGTTCAGATACTTCCTGTCGCTGCTTCAGCCAACTGCTGCTTTCCCAAGATAATACATCAGAGTCTGGCGGGAAAAAAAGCAGATCAGCGGGACAGTCAGTGTATCAGAAAAACTAAGGTACACCGCAGTGAAGCTGTAGCTCCAGTAAAGCACCTTGATTTTGATTTTGCAGTCGGAGGCGCGATTCCACATCCTGAACTTCCTCACTGTCTTCTTCTTGTCCTTCCTCTGTATTATTATATCCAGCCCTCCTGTAGGAGCAGAGACACATGAGCTCTGAATGGTTGTTAAGTGGGTTACCGATGAACAATACCAGCTTAGTCTTCAGTACCTTTTTGCTGGCACGCCACCATTATTCAAAGTGCTCTCCGTGGCTTCTCTGAAAAACATGTTACATTTTATTTAATGAATTGAATAAGCTTTAAACTCTGCTAGATGTAATGTGCTCCTACGGGCCGCAAAAGTCATACCCTGTTTGAATTCTTCTTTTCCTTCTGCTTGCTGCGATTTTCTCAGCAGAGGGAGATGTTAAACTGGTTGCCAAAGTCTGCTCAGCTGTCGAGTGTGTGTCAGGTTCAGCTTGTTCACACACCTCAGATAAAACATCTAGCACCTGCAGGATACCAGTTGACTTTTTTTTATAGTTTCAACGGAAATTACTCTTGAAATGAAGCTATAAAATTATGTCTATTACCTCTTCCTCTTCTGCTCCTTGAGAATCTGTGGCCCTTGGGCTTTTCATGTACCGCACTGCCGTAATCTGTCCTTGAATTGCAAGTTTTTTATGTTCCATGTAATGCAGGGTCTCTAACTCCCTCTTCAAGTCAGCCACAGCAACCAGAGGAGCTTGACCTAAAATAACAAAATAAAATAAAATTTTACACTGTCATTTGAACCAAATAACTTTTACTGTTAGATGCAGAATTTTAGATGCAGGGTATACTGTACTACACTTTTACTACTTTTTTCCTGGACGCTAATCAGTGCATTCTGAAGTGAAACTGTAGTAGATTGAGAGGCAAATCCCCCCCACCACCCCCAAGGTATTTGAATGTGTTCTAAAAACAAACAAAAGGTTTCCCTCACCTGAGGCATCTGCCAGTGACTGAGTACACTTCTGTGGGGTCGAGGGTAGCAATAATGACCACCAACAGCAGTCTTCTGGAGGACAACATTGTCCTTCAAAGTCTTGGTCCACTGGATGAAGCTCTTCACTTTGGGGTCACTCACATATGGCTGACCTTTGTGATAGCCTATTAGATGAGACACAGCTCAGTTCCAACTGCAGTCACCCATACTGTCACCATAAATATGTAGATTATCAGGTACTTATTGTTACAGTCGTTCTGACCTGTGATGAACGTCTCTGTCTCGCAGCTGCTTGTTAGGTAGGGCGACGAGCCTTCCACATGACAAACTCTCATCTGAGTACACACCAGGTAGGTCACTGTGAAAGAGATTATGATATATTAAACAAACTAAGAGAACATTCTTACAAGCGTGGCAGCAGAGCTGTCAGATAGGAGTTGACACAGTTAACCTACTTGGGCAAATCTGACTGAAAATTTCTGGGCGTGAAGAGGAAAAAACCTCGAGGATAAAAGGGTGGTCAGATGTTCCGTCCACTGCGTGGATCCAGCGGTACGTCCAGTACTTTTCTGGACCTAAAAGGTGAACATGGCCAATCACCAAGAACTGAATTTAAATTCAAATGAAAATTCAACAGCTTTACTTCAGTTTTTAGATTGATAATTTACAGTTTATAGATAGATAGATAAACATGAACATTTCTTACCCTTGTTCCCTTTACTCTTGACTCTTTCCACACGACCAACAAATGTTACCAAACCAATGACATCGCATGCAGAATTGGTGGCTAATTTATCCAACTCTGACCTGTTGGATAAATAAACAACATGTCTGAAACTAAAATCATTATAATGCAAGGCTCCGCAAGGAAATGCCGTATAAAATAATAATATCAAATAGTATGTCTTTTGCATGTGTATAAACCAAAACATGCACACCCCAAGTACTAGATATAGGTAGACAAATGTTAAACTCATTACCTGGTGATGAACTGGTAGGAAACCTCAGGCAATCCCCACTGAGGCAGTACACTCTTTGGTGAGACCACAGTGATGACAGAGGCTGGGTTGCGAGGGTTCAGGCAGATTTCTTGGAAAAATACATGTGAAGCATTACATAACAGAGAGTTTAAGATAATGGTATACTGGGGTTCACCAGCCCTTTTAGAGAACTCTAACAAATCAAAACCTTTTCTAATTACTTTTCAAAACAGAATAGGCAAATTGTTCAAATATAGATAGACACACAAATTCTTAAGACTGATCTCAAGTAAAAGCAGATTTTAATTGCATGTATAAACTGCAGACCACTGTAAAGAGTTAGATAGCTAGTTTCAACTACAAGATGAAAACAGTGTTATGCTACATATCATAACATTTGTGCAGCTTTCAAACTAAACTTCAAATTGCAAGATTGTGGTCAGCAGTTCTGTACGTACCTACTGAGTTAAAAGTCTTCATCCTGTGATGGTCCATTTGTGGGTGTGACCGGTTTGAATAACTCTGCTTCAAGGTGTAATTTTGGAGGTACAATACTGTGCCTACATTCAGTCTCTGGTAAAACTCCGGACAAAGTTCGTTCCAAAGCACAAGGGACATTGTCCCACTCTGGTCAGCAACTTCAAAGTAAGCCTGAAATATGACAACACATGAGGTGAAAAAAGTAGACCACACAACATAAGTAAGAAATATGAGTGAGACCCTTTTCACATCTTATTACTGAGGCTCCAAATTCTTCAAACTTACCTGGTAGGGGTAATCAATCTTGAGCCCAAACTTCCCATAATACCGTAATCTGGACTTGTGTATTATCTTCACTAGCAGAGGAAGGGGTTTCCATGTGTTTCTAAAGCATGACTCCAGACTACGAAGAAGTGTAATTTTGGACACTGTTGAAAAGAAAACATTGCAGACAAGAGAGCTGTTTAAAGGAGAAGCGTCTGAGAGAGTGACAGAGTGCATATATTCTAGTCAACAAATGTGTCATTTATCAAGCAAAAAAAGCCTAAATTTGAGTACATGCAGCCTTCCTCTGTTTTAGGTCATTATAAATGTATTAGCTTTGGGTTTTTATCTGTTGGCCGGACAAAACATGCAGTTTGAGGACATCACCGTGGGTTCTAATAAATTATGATAGGCACTTTCATTATTTTGTTAAGGTTTGTTGCCCAGCAGATAACTGACAAATTATAAAGGCAGTGATTATTAGTTGCTGCGATGCATCATATCCTACTTATTAAATTCACTAAATTGTCTTATGTGTAAACATATCCTGATTGCACCGAATTGCCTTCCCACAAAAACGTTGTCTTATTATTTCAGTGTGATACAGTGGGTACGGAAAGTATTCAGACCCCTTTAAATTTTTCACTCTTTGTTTCATTGCAGCCATTTTCCAAAAATCAAAAAAGTTCATTTTATTTCTCAGTAATGTACACTCAGCACCCCATCTTGACAGAAAAAAAAACAGAAATGTAGAAATTTTTGCAAATTTATTAAAAAAGAAAAACTGAAATATCACATGGTCATAAGTATTCAGACCCTTTGCTCAGTATTTAGTAGAAGCACCCTTTTGATCTAATACAGCCAGTCGTTTTGGGAAAGATGCAACAAGTTTTTCACATCTGGATTTGGGTATCCTCTGCCATTCCTCCTTGCAGATCCTCTCCAGTTCTGTCAGGTTGGATGGTAAACGTTGGTGGACAGCCATTTTCAGGTCTCTCCAGAGATGCTCAATTGGGTTTAAGTCAGGGCTCTGGCTGGGCCATTCAAGAACAGCCACGGAGTTGTTGTGAAGCCACTCCCTCGTTATTTTAGCGGTGCGCTTAGGGTCATTGTCTTGTTGGAAGGTAAACCTTCGGCCCAGTCTGAGGTCCAGAGCACTCTGGAAAAAGTTTTCGTCCAGGATATCCCTGTACTTGGCCGCATTCATCTTTCCCTCGATTGCAACCAGTCGTCCTGTCCCTGCAGCTGAAAAACACCCCCACAGCATGATGCTGCCACCACCATGCTTCACTGTTGAGACTGTATTGGACAGGTGATGAGCAGTGCCTGGTTTTCTCCACACATACCGCTTAGAATTAAGGCCAAAAAGTTCTATCTTGGTCTCATCAGACCAGAGGATCTTATTTATCACCATCTTGGAGTCCTTCAGGTGTTTTTTAGTAAACTCCATGCGGGCTTTCATGTGTCTTGCACTGAGGAGAGGCTTCCGTCGGGCCACTCTGCCATAAAGCCCCGACTGGTGGATTGCTGCAGTGATGGTTGACTTACTACAACTTTCTCCCATCTCCCGACTGCATCTCTGGAGCTCAGCCACAGTGACCTTTGGGTTCTTCTTTACCTCTCTCACCAAGGCTCTTCTCCCCCGATAGCTCAGTTTGGCCGGACGGCCAGCTCTAGGAAGGGTTCTGGTTGTCCCAAACGTCTTCCATTTGAGGATTATGGAGGCCACTGTGCTCTTAGGAACCTTAAGTGCAGCAGAAATATTTTTGTAACCTTGGCCAGATCTGTGCCTTGCCACAATTCTGTCTCTGAGCTCTTCAGGCAGTTCCTTTGACCTCATGATTCTCATTTGCTCTGACATGCACTGTGAGCTGTAAGGTCTTATATAGACAGGTGTGTGGCTTTCCTAATCAAGTCCAATCAGTATAATCAAACACAGCTGGACTTAAATGAAGGTGTAGAACCATCTCAAGGATGATCAGAAGAAATAGACAGCACCTGAGTGTCACGGCAAAGGGTCTGAATACTTATGACCATGTGATATTTCAGTTTTTCTTTTTTAATAAATTTGCAAAAATTTCTACATTTCTGTTTTTTTCTGTCAAAATGGGGTGCTGAGTGTACATTACTGAGAAATAAAATATGCAATGAAAATGGCTGCAATGAAACAAAGAGTGAAAACTTTAAAGGGGTCTGAATACTTTCCGTACCCACTGTATCTGCCTATCTGCCTTGGTATGTTTCGTCCTGCCCCCTACCTGAAAACCCAAGTAGCCACCTACTCCACCTCGGTGGTGTAAATAAATGTAAGCCATGTGAATAGATCAGTGTGTGACAGGATCATCTCACCGTCCAGCACTGTGTCAGATGACGGAGACCCTGAGACCCAGATGTCTCCCTCCGGGTCGTCGTTGTTCCACAGAGACAGGTAATGTTTGCGGTTCACCTGAAGGGGAACATCACTATGCAGCACCACACTCCTCTCCATGCCATGCTTGACCAGCATGGGCAGTGAACTGACATCCTTTATGTGGGGCAGGACAGCAGACCTCCTTGCACCACATCTGAGCTTTTCAATGCAAACGTAACCATGTCCCAGTCTCCTCTCGTTGTAAACAAAAGAGCACTGCGTGATGCTGATGTCAGTCCCAGTCCTGAGGATGTTCGAGTGCACCAGGTGGTTTAAACTAGGGTGAACAAAGCATTTGACTCGCCCGACCCCGTCAGTGACAGTCACATCGTAGCTGTAGCTGTCGGGCTGCTGCTGCCCCTCAGTTTGCTCGGATAGATACCTCTGAAGTGCGATGACAGCGACACGACCCGCCTCCTCCGTTTTCAGTTTCAGACACTGTGTGAAGGATAACCGCTCCAACGTCCTCTGGAGGCAAGACGCTTGCGAAAGACCAGTAACCATCGAAGAACAAGACGAGGTATCCTCCATTGTGGACAATTAACTCAAGCCGTTACCTTTTGGATAGCTGCTGTGTCGCTGCTGTGGTCTCATGTTAGCTTGTTGGCTAACTAACGTCTTCCTGACAGTCTCAGCAACCTGTTCTACACGCGTTTAAACTTGCGCATAAAAAAGAGTGGTGTCTGGAAGAATGTAGGACTAACGTAGACGTATCTAAATACTACAAACACTTTACTATTCAAGACTTAATATTTCACGGTGTTTAAGAAGAGGATACTCCGCTATCGAAGTTGCAGGCTAACGTTACAAACAACGCGGGTGCTGTTTGATTGCGTCACTATTTGCCATAAACACACTAGTTCGCAAAGAGAAAGAAATCCGCCCTACGTTAAAATACTTACTGTATGTGTCCAATGTTACCATACTGAATACTTTAGTCTCACATAAAAGCTGTCCGGTTAATGTAAAGAGGAAAATCCTATTTTTGAATCCCGCGCTGACCAGTCGGACTCCTTACGTCATCAACGCGACGTGCGCGTTGTAGGCTTGTTGTAGTTCCTATTTTGATTTGTTGTTGTTTTAAATCACTACAGTTATGACATTGTAACTCGTGTATTATACCTCATTCTTTGCACTGTGCTTCACAACATTATTGTCTTGCTGTCGACAAATGTTCAAATCTATTGATCAACTCCAGACTGTCCAGAACTCAGCTGCCTGGCTTTTAACCAGAACAAAGAAATATGACCACATTACTCCTGTTTTAGCTTCATTACACTGGCTCCCAGTATGTTTTAGAATTGACTTTAACATTTTATTGATCACTTTTAAAGCTCTTCATGGCCTCTCGCCTTGTTATATTTCTGAACTTTTAGTCCCATACACACCAGCACGTACCTTGAGATCCTCGGGCAGAGGTCTGTTGTCTGTTCCAGAGTCTCGACTGAAAACTAAAGGGGACAGAGCGTTTGCTGTCAGGGCCCCGAGGCTCTGGAACAGCCTGCCCGAGGAAATCAGGTCGGCTGAGTCAGTGAACTCTTTTAAGTCCCTTCTTAAAACATACTTTTATAGGAGAGCCTTTCCCGATCTTATTTGACTTTATTTTATCCCTTTTATTTTATTTTACTAATTTTATATTTATCTGAAACGTGTATTTTAATCTTTTCAATGTTTTCATGCTTTTATATTGTATTGTTTTTGTATTATTGTCTTTTGGGTATTATTGTCTTTACACTTGTTAAAGCACTTTGTAACTTGTTTTTGAAAAGTGCTCTACAAATAAAGATTATTATTATTATAAATGTTGTTTTGTTTATGGTTGTGCCTATGTGTGTAGGCTACACTGTAGTTTGTGTCTGTTTCTGTTTCCTGTTTGTTTATTCTTGTTCTGTGTATGTACAGAGCAATGCAGGACCGGAGTGTACAGGCCATGAAAAGTGATTGTGATCACTAGAGTAGCCCTCAATGTTATTTACTACAGTTACAGAGTTCTATTTTACCTCACAGTGACATGAGTTGTGTTCTACTGTTGTTCTGAATAACATCAATAAAAGGATTAAGAGAAAAGCACTTCGCAAACATTTCCAAAATATACCCCGAATTCGACACACAATTCAGATACACAGAAACTCCCATATTTACTGGGAGAAATGCCAAATTGTCAAATAATTACAGCAAAATGTCTCCAACCAGTGGAAATTCAGAATAGACTCTAGTTGTTCTGAAAAGTTATTTTCATTGTCTGTTATTTTAGTAATTGTTCCTTTATTTGTTTTTGTTTTTTAATTTTACATTTTTTTTTCTATTAATATACATAATACATAATTTTATAGTGATTAATGAACTCTATAAAATGAATTGTTCTTTTGTAATTTATTTGTTGCTTTGGCAATATTGTTGTTTTACAGTCATGCCAATAAGGCTAGATCAAATTTAATTGAATTAATATAACTCACAGTGACATCAGTTGTGATTTATTGGTGTCATCCCTAGAGTTATGTATGGCAAGCTGTTTTTTTTAGCCAGACTGGATATTCCTTACTGATATCTGCAATGTCATTTTGCCTAGTCAAAGAAATTAAAGGTATCTGTAATTATATTTTGATTAGTAAGATTCAAACTCCTATTGCCTTTTATGTGTATGGGGGTTCTCATTACATGTTATGATATTGTGATGTTGATTAAATTGCACATTGCCTGCAACAGAATTATAACTAGTTGTAATTCTGGTTCCAGTTTAGTCAAAATGTAATTACGCATTACTTTACCTCTGTGACATCAACCCTCAACTCACAGAAAGTCACCACTAATAGAGTAAAATAAAAGCAATAATCTAATTATGCTCAATTTGATTAAGAACACATAGTAAAAGAGAAAGAGTGTCATGTTTGCCAAACACAGACGCTGGTGAACACAAGCAATTTGGATCCAAACACAAGACACCAAGGTGGAGCAGGTAAAGTTTATGGTGTTTTCTTCAAACTTACCTGGTAGGGGTAATCAATCTTGAGCCCAAACTTCCCATAATACCATAATCTGGACTTGTGTATTATCTTCACTAGCAGAGGAAGGGTTTTCCATGTGTTTCTAAAGCATGACTCCAGACTACGAAGAAGCGTAATTTTGGACACTGTTGAAAAGAAAACATTGCCGACAAGAGAGCTGTTTAAAGGAGAAGCGTCTGAGAGAGTGACAGAGTGCATATATTCTAGGTGAGGTAAACTTAATCTGATTGTGAGTAAAACAGGAAACAAAGAATAAATAATGCAAATGTGGGCAAGACTGTTGACAGGGAACCAGGAGCAGGTGTAGGCTTGACCACGGCTGAGGATACAGGAGCTGGTTTGCAGACGGAGAACCAGGACTGGTGGTACCTTTGTGGTACTGAACAACTGGGGTGCTAGAACAGCTTCATGTCAGTGGAGCTGCATAGGTGAATATCTGTAAAACATAGTCAGAGTGCTGATCAGCTGAATCTGTGAGGAGCTGGCCAGCGGAACTCTGGTTAGCGGGACAGCTGTTTCTCTGTCATGTGGAGCAGCTCCATCTCTGTGGTACCAGGCAGCAGAACCCTTGTAGCTCTGGTCAGCAGCAAGGATGAGAAGCTGAGCTGTGGCGACTCTGGGCCATGCTCTCTCCGAGAGGGTCTCTCTGCAGGTGACTCCAGGGCAAGATCTGGTAACTGCTTAGAAACTGGTTAGTACAGGTCTAACCGACAGGCTATCTGACCGGAGGCTAGCAGTCTAGCTATTGAGATAGAACTGGTGACATCATCTGTGATGTAAACCTTCAACTCACAGACAGTCACCACTAAAATAGATGCAATCATGCTCAACTTGATTAATAACACATAGTGGAAGAAAGATAGAGACATATCCAGCTCCTGCAGAGGATAATGGAACGGTCTGGATTTTTATTGACCACAGTGAGTCACTCTTGCAGAACAGTGTCCACAATTGCTTCACTGGGATTTTATTATTATGATCAACGGGAAGACTGGCCCCTACTAGCCAACCAACACCTCTTCCAGCACCAACTTAGTTTTCCCAGGAGGTCTCCAACCCTATTACTAGCCAAATCCCCAACCTGCTTAGCTGCAGTCATTCAGTAGAAACAGGGTACATGTTGGTATGTCTGCCAGCCGGAAACTTAATGACATCTTAATGATGGAACAAAACCGCTGACCAGTTACATCAAATGACCTTGCTTATTGAGTTAAAACTGGTGACATCATCTGTGACATCAACCCTCAACTCACAGATAGTCACCACCAAAATTAAAATAAAAGGAAATCATATAATCCAATCCTACGCAATATGATTAATAACCCATATTAGAAGAGAGAGACATCCAGCTTCTGCAGAGGACAAGTTCCAACTGAGCCAAATTGAGGAGAAATTGGTCTTCTAAACAGAAAAGTATACAGTTCCCTAAATGTTAGCATACTGCATATGAATCTAAAGAACCCCACATTTATTATAGATAATCCCAAATATGCTTTTGAGGATAGATATTTGAATTTCTGTTTCAGAAGACACTGAACATCCTGTTAGTGCATGCACTGTGCATATTTTACTCTATGGCTAAAAGTTATTAAAACATTTTTTTAATTTTAAATTAATTGATAATGTTCTGAATACAGTTTATTGCATCGAGTCACATTCACATGCTGTGCACAATACTGCCACATCTGTAAATACTGTGTGTATTCTCCATATTCTCACATGATGATGATGCATAAAGTGTTAACTACTCATAATAATCTTGTTGACATCACATTGTTGATTTGGATTATCCAGAGAATGAGCTTTGAAGATTTGCTTCAAAAGTCTTAAGATCTTTGATGGAGTTCAAGAAATATCTTGATATAAGTGTATAGAACAACTCACCAATGTGTAGAAAATGCAGGTCAAGTTAAGCACCGTTCAGTCCTGAAGACTTTGAAGTAATTAATCATTCAAGGATCCAATCAGAGATTTCCAGCAGTTCCTCATAAGCAACAGGCAGTTTAATGAGACAACTTGAGGAGAACTGGTCTACAAAAATACAGTTCCCTATATGCTAGTATACAGCACCCTAAATATGAATATAAAGCACCACACACTTATCATACACCACCCCAAATATAAGAAAACACTAAACATCCTGTTCAGCACACACACATTCACATGCTTTGCACAATACTGCCTCATCTGTAAATACTGTTTGTAGTCTGGCTGCTTACATGATGCATAAAGTGAGGAGTGCTCATATTAGTCCTGTTAACATCACAGAAGTGATTTGCTTCAAAAGTCTATCTTCGATCTTTGATAGAGTACAGGAAATACCTTGAGGACGGCCCCAGCATCGTTCAGTGCTGAAGCCTATTAAATAATTAATCAGTCAAGCATACAATTAGGCAAAATTATTGGTTTTGTATGCACTGCAAATATGTGTTACTGTGTTATGACTAAGATGCTGAAAATGCACAGAAGTTGTAATCCTCCCTTTTTTTAATTTTTAACTTGTACCTTCTGGCACATGATATCGTATATTGTGTTAGGCTATTTTATCCAGTTTGTGATGTTTACACAGGGTGACAAGTTGACTTTCTATCTTTCCAATGCAAGAGGAAGGGCTTGAAGAGCTCAAACAGGCCCTCTGCAATCCAAATGACATTATTGCAACTTAACCTCATCTGTCAGGAAGGGATTCTTTTATCATTCTTACACTGTGTGTGTGTGTGTGTGTGTGTGTGTGTGTGTGTGTGTGTGTGTGTGTCATATTCTATTTTTTAAACATTAAGTAGAATATGATAATTAAAAAGAATAGATTCTTCCTTGCCATGGATGCAGCCAAGATATTTCTATATGCTATGATCATTTCCCTCATGTCTTTTGTTGTTGTTTTTGTATAAAACAACATTAAGAATTCTGGATAAAAAGGCAAATCAATATCATTACTGTAGGATACTGGAGAAACATCATCTTCTGAGCTTTGAACATTTTA